CTGTTACGTTACTTTTGATCCATCTCTACATTTCTATAGTATGATTAGCGAGTTCACTCACCGAACTTCGCAGAAAACCCAACCACGATGATGTGGAATGGGGCTTTCTCCTGAGCGTGAAGCGGTTGATTCGTTCCTAAAATGGGATGAACAACATTGATGATCGCACTGTTTTGCATTGCGCCAAATAGACGGATAAAGCTCGTTCTGAGTGGTTATATTTGAAAAAGAAGAAACTATGCATATCACCAATTTTACTTAGGCCCCAGAATTGGCTAATTCCACATTAGCCATAAGTATGCACCAGAGCGCCTATTTCGAGATGTCTAGATCTTTCAATATTGGTCCTAGAATAATAGAAACCTCAAGATATCAGTGTTACTGAAAGAGAGAAGTCTTATGTTTAGTTTATGGAGGTTTCGTTACTTATTACGTTTCATGTTACCATGGGATAGCTTTTCATGAATCAAACATTTTACTGAACGATCGGCAAGTGATTTAATTTTTCAAGAAGACAACAGGGAGTTTCTAACCTCTAAAAACCCCTTTTCCTGGATCTGCAATATTATTTAAAATTAAATTCTTCCTTAAAAGCTTTGACAGAAATTTTTTTATGTTTTTGACATTTCAACTGTGGAATACCCCTATATTTAGTTTTCTAAACACGGTATAACCTCCAATAGATTTAACAAGAAATTTTAATTAAATATTCTTTTTACAGGGAGAAATTCATTACTTTTTGAAATTATAAACAAATAATCTACCTAAATAAGTACTAGATAATTAATTAAAAAATTAACCTTAACTCTGGAAATTGAAACAATTATTTAAAGTATTTTATCTTTATATAATAACACAACTTTCTTTAATCCTTTATGGAAGTATATTTTCAATCAACTTCATTAATTTTTAAGTGTCATTGGGAAGCTATTTTCCAATCTATAATTAGTGCGACCGTTTACTGATAACTTCAGAAAGTACAAAAATATTACAGTAAAGGTTGACATAGGGTCAAGAACACAGGTCTTTACTGTGGAATTATTTTCGTTTTTGCGTATATTTCTTACCGAATTTATTAGTTATAATAAACATAGAATTTATAAATTCGGTTATTAGTAAGGGAAGAAATTCAAGTTTAAAGCCAATTCTTTACAGAAGGAAGGTTCCACATACTTTCTATAAAAAAAAATGTCTTTCAAAAAATCAAATTGATTTTAGGTGATAGGCCATGTGTATTTGTTTTTATAAATCAATCTCAATTCCAAAAATTGGTCTCTTAAAGGTTTCAATCATATACATTATTAAAACTATATCTTTGTAACTCAATAAATACGACTCAATGATAAATGACAATTGTTATTTGTTTTGATATATCGCCCACGAAATGTTTATTTAAACTATGTAAAACTTCAATATCAAAGTCACATTTATTTTACTACAAACTATTAAACACGCATAGTTGGGAAATAATTACATGAAATGAAAATCAACAGCATAGTATACAATTTCTCTTTTACTGCAAAAGTATTATTTTAACCATATCAATTGGCAAAGTGAATATATTTACAAAGTTCAAGAATCCAGATTTATGAATATGACTAGTTTACATGCAATTTGAATAAATACAATAGGATCTAAGCACAAAGAAAATAATCAAACATTAATTGAAAAATTAGATGGCAAATTTAACAGTGAAATATTTACATGAAAGTTCATGTTTCACAAAAAAGCAACCTGTTTAGCAAGAAATGTATCAGACTCTGTTTGTTTTGCAAAATTTAATATTAAAATTTCTTTTTTCTTCATATATACAGGAGAGGGAAAATATTGTTAAGATAACTGAAGTTATTAATACTGAAGTTTTTCTGAATTTACAAAACTCAATAAAAATGCTTAATTCACCAGTTATGACACGCCTTAAAAATTAACAAGAGAAATTCAGCAACTGTCACTCATAATATCTAAAGATTTATAATATAGAAGTGAAATATAATCTAATTATTAAGTAAAATCAAGATACTCTCTACATTGATGTAGTTAGATTTAATTTCCCCCAAACTTTGATTGATAAAATTTAATTAACTAATCAGTAAATTACTAAGTCATAATTCTATCAGGCAAATTTAACTATTGTTTTAAAATTGGTTTGGAATTGAATTTTGGGAAGCAGAAAAAATTATGATGGACACCTCAAGAATTGTTTTCTTTTGTCAAAATATTTACAATATGATCAAGTTGAATGGGCATTAAATTACAAGAAAATATAAAATAATAAATTAAACTACAAAGAACATATGTAGCGTACAAAATACAGCGCTTGTTTTTAATAGATGAAAATAATATTTCTGATGTAAATAAGAAAAATCTTTTTGAACATAAAAAAAGAAATATTGCTAGAACAATATGAATGATTTTTATATCCCATAATAGAATAAAAACAAATGTATTATTATACAGACAAAAGTATTAAAAGAATATTATTTTTAAACGTAAATTTTTTTTTCAAAGAAGCTGAAACAGTATGCTTATATAAACAGGATTAATTTTAATATTTGTCATAAATCAAGTAAGGAATTTTTTTTAAAACTAACTTTTTTTCTATTTTTGCACATAAAAATATCAATGTCTCATTAAAAAAAATCATAGCCAAATATAAACGTTTTGCAATGTTATAGTTTTATTATTCAGCTAATATAGTTTTTTGTTTTTGTTTTAAACAATGGCAACATAAAAACTAGAAGTATACTAATATTAATTAAATTTAGTGAGTGACTTGCTTGTATACTTCTCTTACAAAAAATTTAATATATTTAAAAATACATGTATTGCACCCCTTTTTTATTTACTAAATTTGTAACCTTTGAAATCTGTATATTTTGATCACACAATTATAAGAAAAATACAGACCTATAATACGTATAGTCATTTGTTAGAACAATAATTTTAAAGGTCTGTTTTTATAGTTATATTAGAATTGAGATTCAGTTTGTTTATGTCGACAATACAAAATGTCAATTCAGATTCAGAAAATAGACTGATGTTATAAATAATGCATTCCATGGACAAAAGTATATTTCTAAAGATTGATTACAATATTGAGTAAGAACATTAATCATCAATATTTTAAAAATTATTCTAATTTTTGAGTTTTTAGAATTGAATAGATAACTAAAAAAGAAATCTGGAAAAAAAAACCATCTATTAAAAAGAAATAGATTAAAAAATTGCTTATTTATTGCATTCAATTTTTATAAAGAAAGGTTATCTTATTAAAATAAATTATGACAGTTTTTAGCTGTAGCATTTTTTTTAAAAATATTAACAATGATGTCTTATTTACATTATTAAATAAATAAATTGAAAAAAAGCACATCTTTGCAGACATACTATTAGGGATATTGCATGATAAGACAATACAATAGCATTCTTATTCAGTTATCATGTATCATCTGAAGTATGGTCCCTATTCACTACTTCATCTTCAAAGGTAAAAACAGATACAGTCTGAAATTAAACAAAAATTAAAAAAGCAGTCTAAAAAATGATTATAGAGAAAATTATGATAAGACTGGACAGTCATTTGATACATGACAATCACATAAAAAATTCAAGTATCTGCGCATTGAAATGTTTTGATTTAAAGAAAAAGGGGGCAAGCTAAAAGAAATAACTCTAACATATTTACAGATTCCATTTATTTTCATCCATAACTTAAGCTTTTTAATAATTGTCTAGAACTAAAACATATAAATAATTAAAACAACAATTATATAACTAGCAATTAACTTTTAGCACATTCATTAAGCATAATTTGTGTGATCAAAAATGCTGAAAATATTTAATGTTTTCATTTACTGACTAAGAGTTAGAGTTACTAATTATTTGGATATCCTGGAACATTTAGTATGTTCAAGGTGTATTTCTTGTGGTCATTGTATTTTGGAAATGCATTTTTGAAGTTAGATGTTCATGCATCATGCATGTTAAAAATTTATTCATTAAAAAGCTGTTGAGACAATTAGGAATTTCAGTTGCTTTTAGCTTATTTTTTATGTGAGATTTTAATCCTTTTATTGTAAAGATAATGAAAAACTGTCAAAATATTTATTTTAAATATCCTTAAACTATGAAACTATTACTATAGTCTATCATTCAGTGAAAAACATTTAAATTTTTTTATCAATAAATGCTAGCTAATTAAAAAAGTAATAGAACACACTATTTTATTTACCATTACTAGCAGAAGCAAATATTTTGAGATAACCTATTAATGCTGTTATGGAGCAACGTTAATAACTAAACCAAGCAACTTCTTAAGAGTTTTCAATTTTAAAAATAAACAAGAAAGTTTTTGGTCCATTATTATAATCCAATTAGTTGCACCCTTTATAGCAAACTATCAGTGAACACAACAATAAGTTCACGGTAAACAGCAGTTCAATATATCCAAATTCTTTGAAAAATTATGTTTTAACATATTACAACATTAAAAAGAAAAATTAATAAATTTTTATATTCTCAGGAAGAAATTAGTACTTCTTAATTGACTACAATTCGATTTTATGAGGAATTTACCAATCTTTGTATTAGTAAAGAATCCAGTATTTTCAAGTAATTATTTTTTTCTAGGAAGTTGAAAATTCAGATACTTTAAAGCCAATTTCACTTCTAACTAGTTTGCCCTAGCTTAAAAGTGAAGAACACGCATCTGTAAGAGTTGACGTAATGAAAAGAAATGCCCTCATTTGCAATAGCAACTAATGCAAATTTAAAGTCGGAAAAGAAAAAAACCCCTGAGGAAATGAGATTAGAGTACACTAAAAATTTACTAGCAATTTTCAGCTCTTCTATTATAAGCTAATAAAACAATATTTTTTAGTTAAATAGGAATTAAGAAGGGCCCACTAAAAAAAATTAACTACAACCGAGTGCTCACTAGATCTGAGATTCATTATAGAAGGGATAAGACTATTATAAATAATGAAATTTTGTAAGCTCTTTTCAATAATTTTTATAGATGGAAAAAAAAGAGAGAAAAACTTTTAGATTTTTTATTATAATTTTATATCTGGTAGAAAGCATCTATTTGTGAAATCACACACAGTTCGTAACAAAAAATGCTAAAAAAATTCAGAAGCACAAAAGGATCATAAAATTAGCAATACAAACTGTTCATAAAATTTGATCAAAACATTAAGGAAAAATAAGACAAGTGAAAAATAAAATAAATTGACAACAAATTCAATAAAAAAATTAGTACTATACCACTACATTCAAATCAAAGATACAAAGAACTACTTTTGTTCTCAAAAACTATAAAAACACCCACACATTATTATACACTATTAAAATGGAATGTTTATAGAATGAGTGAGGTGATAGAATAGGTGAATAAGGATTTTTTTTTCATTCTTTTTTTATCTAAGTCTAGATACAAGAAGAGAGGATGCATAAACTTTCAAAAATACCATATGGAAAATAAGTGGTACCTAATCATTTTGTTCTACATCAACACACACACAAAGATATAATATTTACATTCAATTGCAGTAGTAACAACAATTAGTTTAGAGCACAAAAAATTGCATAAACTTAAAACTAAAATCAACAATGACAAGTCGAAATAAATTAAATTTGAATATTAGATATATTTATATAACTATGAACAATAACATTAGAATATTCAAAGTCAAATTCGAATAAAAATATATATATAAAAAAAAAAACTCCGTCGGCATTAGCAGCAAAATAATACGAGTGAAAATCTGTATGACTTCTGTCTAACTCTATATTGTTAAAGAATAGTTTATTAATAAATAAATAAAAATATTATAGAATGACCTTTTTGATGAACAGTGATAAGGTAGGTAGAATTTTTTTTCTTTTCAAATATAGCGTTTCTAAAAATGTGATGTTTTGAAATATATAAATTAATTTACAAAAAATCAAATATTTTTTAACACAACAAATCTTTAATAAATTTTAATTACAAACTGAAGAACGCTTACTCTAATTAAACATATTAATGTATCTACTTATGTAACTACAATGTGCAGTTTAGATTGTTTCGGTAGTTTTTTTCCAGATAAGATTTAACTGGATAACAGATTAAAAGAGAATAAACATTTCTTTTTTAAATTTTGGTTCAAACAAGCATTTTTTTAAAACCTAAAATTGTCTTGAAAGAGGTTTAATTAAAATCTAAAACAAACATTTTAAAAATCTTTCACAAGATATTGTATATTTTGAAAATACAATATTCTTTCAAAATTTTCCATCATATTACTTTTGAGCTTGTACAACACTTTTCAGTGTGCTATTTCAATTTAATACCAAACCTATTTTCTGAATTTTTTTATTGTATCCATCTTTAAATTTAATTACTTTTTACAATTGACCCGTTAACAAATTAAGAAAATACAAGTATTTTGATATTTAACACATAATTCAAACAATCCAACAAAAGATCCAAATAAAATTATATATATATATACCAAATATTTCGATTGAAGTTTAAATTCTTTTAAATGCTTAACACTTTTTAAACTTTTAAGAGTTATTAAATAATGCAAGTACAAAACTTTCTATGATATTTTAACCACTTGAACAAAAACCCAAGTATCGTTTCTTGCATTAGCGATATGTCAACATTTACATTGCATTGCAGAAATTTTTAGATTACTTCACGCAATATATTTAATGCTTATTTTCTAATTTTGAAATCTGTACATGAAAATACAAGAAACTAAGCATATTCCCATGAAATAGGAAGCTATTGCACCACTGATGATGTAGATTTGGTTAAAAATGGTAAAGATCGTAGAATACGAGTGTAAAAATCACCTTTAGATTTAAAGGTGTATAAAAATATTGTTATAATGATAAAATACTGTATCCAGTTCTTTAACGTTTTAAAAGGAGATGTTTTGCATAATAAATACAAATTTTTAATTGTATACATTAATATATGCTTAACAAAACAAACACTACAGAAAAGAGAATTTAAGCTACAAACAAATACAATTTGCAACACAAAATTATTGATTTTTATTATGTTTTGTTATTTGGGACAACATAAAAAAAAAAAAATTCTATTGGTGAATGGCAGATATTTGACAGAAACTTAGTGCTATTAATTTGGGAATTTGAGGTTAAAATATGTCACATTAACTCAATGGCATCATTTGATGAATTAGACACACATTTATTTCAAATAAATAATAAGTGGTGGCATAAGTATGCTGCAATCAGTTTATTTCAGAAAGAGATAACATAAAGTAGGTATTAAATTTGATTTAGTAACTAATCACTTACATAAAAAAACAAAAACAATAATCTTTAACCAAAACCTTACCAGCTTTTAATTTAGCTGTTTCCTCTGAGTCTGGTATTTAAATAAATTGGATTCCAATTGGTTAAAAAAGTTTTTTAATTTCAGTTTTTTTTAAAAAAGACAAGTGCAGGTGAACTAAGAGACATTTTTGAAACTTACTCTGTTATTTAATAACCAAGTATTAAAATATATAAAAAAATTTTATATGCTAATAAAATATACATAAAAACAACATATTTTATCCCCATATTCATAAAAAAACAGTTAACGATGGAATCCCGTTCCTATAACTCTAAAAGTTTTACAGTAAATGATTAAACTTAATAATGTGATATTTGCAATAAGAAGGTTGATTAATCAGTAAGCTACATTGAAGGACAAAACTGATTCATTTGATGATTAGCATAAGTAATATTAACACGATCAAGTGAAAACTGTAACACACATTCTCTGCCTACAAGAATAACATTTGAGACAATGACAATGTTTTCTTAATACAGACGACACTTTTTGAGGACAAAAATAACAATAATGAACATTCACTACATATAAAGCATTGATATGCAGATTAAATATGACAAACAAACACATCATAATACTTCTATCAAATGAGCAACAATAAATTAAATATATTTATATAATGTCACAACTGCTGATTATAAAACATTTTATAACATATAAAGAAATAAACCCGACTAGATATCACAGTAAATGCCACACATTAGTTTCAGTTTGGGACTTGCATTAAATGCATTATTTTATATCTAATATATATTTATCCTGACATTTAAATTTAAAAGCACACATTCAGCGATGCAAAATGTAATAACTTAAGAGTAAATTTTATATTCTGTTATAATAAAATTAATAATTAGTTAACAAACAACTTTTTTCATAGGTTTTAATAAATGAAACAATATAGTCTATGAAATTTGGCAATTTCAAATTCTGCAGAAATAATACATTTTCAATACACATTTTCTTATCAGTATAAAAAAAGTGCATCTATTACATGAAAAATTTTATTTGCCAAGTATGCCACGAGACCAAAACTCTTTCTTGCTCAAGAGTGAATTGATGAACATTAAGTTTCAAACAGAGTGTGGCAGCAGTATCATAGTATACAAATATAATGGTGACCCTCAGATCCCCTGTGGTTTTGTTTTGGTTGTATCATAAACACGAATCAATTCAGCCTAAAATGACAAAGGACAACAAAGGTTTCAGTACCATAAAAGACAGTTTCACAGAAAGCAATGATAATTTGATTAATATGAAGGATAAGTTTAGTAGATCACAATATTTTTTGATAAATTATTTTATTCATCACTTTCGTTTGTTGTTTAACTTACTAAAAGAACTTATAAATCACAACTAAAGAGGACTATCATTTACAAGAAGCAAATGAAAAATGCTTCAATTTCATTATTAAGTTTTAATTAGAGCAGAAAGTTTTATTTTATTTTATAAATGGTGTCAAACAGCAAACTCGAATTTGAGTTTACGACTATCAATGTTCAACTCCATACAATGATCAACTCCTTGTAATTTTGAAACCAAACAAGGAACTTGATCAAGCATTGCAGTATTAGCCTGTGTGGAGGATAGTTTTGATAGAACTAACACGTATTTGCGTTACATGGAGAGGAAAATCAAGAAAGCCATCCACAGATATCTCCATGACTAGGTAACCCATGATACATCTAACAGTGAGCATAATTTACATCAGCATTGTGGTTGATGCAAGCTAAGAGCAGAATTTGCATTGACCAGCCGTCACTAGATTCGAACCTGTGTCACCTCATTGGGCTTAGCTCTGTTCCCTGAGCAACTTTGGTTTACTTAGGGAAATTTTAAAAATCATAAATTAAATGTAAGGAAAACTAATGTAATACCAGATAGCTAGGATTCGAAGGCCTGTTTTAGCTAAACTGTTCAGCCTAAAAACTGTCAGATTTAATCAAGATATTATTGTTTAGTTGTGTACAATGTATCATTCCTGAAAAGTCAATGATGTACTAAATTTTTATAAACGATTTTTCTCTAGAAAATATCAAATTACCCAGTCTTACCCCACTTGTGAGGTAAAACTCTGTACGCATATTAAATCTATGAGAAATTTAGAAATACTAGAATTTCAGTGACAACATAGTAGACATTATTTTACATGTGATGTAGTCAATGTTGTAATGGTGGGAGAGAGGGGTCTTGGGGTGTGGGACTGATGAGAGCACAACCAAAATTTGTTTTAAAAAAAATAGCGCTTATTAATCAGTTTTTTTTAAAAAGAAAGTTGCGGAGAATTTCTTTATATTTAAAATTACGGTTTTGCATTGAGGGTCTTCAAAAAATCAAATAGAATAGGAAAATTAGGCTTTTAGTGCTTTGAAGAAGGGGCCCACAAAATTGTTTTTCTTGTGGCCTCAAAAACTTTTGTTCAGCCTTGGATGTAGTTGTCTTTATTACCACGAGAGCAGAGGTTATCGAAACGAAACAGGATAGTGCTACTAATAGATTAAAACATCATTGGTTGATAGGACATGAATCTTCAGTAAACATATAAGTTGGAATAAAAATATTTTTTATAACTCTAATGTCCAATAAATAAGAATAGCTTAATGAGAGAACAATAGAGAGCTGACATTGTAAAACAAATGCAGTAAATTAATCAACTACACACCAATATGATATGCTCTTCTTCTTGACTATTAAAGTGTAATTCAGAGTTTGTTCGCTAGAAAACAGAACTGAATTCAACCCAATTGAGGTACCTGGTATCATCCCAATCTCCCCTACTTGATAAATTAATCACTAAATTAAATTGGAGAAGAGAAATGAGGACTATTGTTTTCACTGACGGCACAATACATTTCCCAGATCAAAGTTTTAAAAATTGGCAAGCATTAATTATGAGAGTAGATAATCGTAATGCAATAAGAGGAAGACAATAAGTAAAAAAAAAGGGAAAATAAAAGTTGCAAGAAATGGACATTGATAAAATAAAGGGAGCAAAAGGAAAAAATACATGAAGTGGTCAAAATAAACATGAAAAACATTACATTTAGGGACATTACTTAAGGGAAATGGAACATTTTTAACATATAAATGAATATTCATAGGTACATTGAATAGCTCTTCAAATTTTACAAAATAAATAAATAAAAAAAATAATAAAACTTGATGATAATTTTAACTAATAACAAAAATAAAAATTTTGGGTTAATTTAGAGATTCAGTTATAGATCACAAAATTAATAATGCAAATGATTTAGAGGTTCTTTTCTCAGCATGTAACCTTATATTTCCCATCATTAATGACTAATACTGAGAAGTTTGCAATATAATTTAGCAAATAAATAAAATAACATAATGTAATGATGTAAAACATGTATTTTTTATTATTATGTGACTATTTGACTTAGTTAGAAAAAAATGCCTTTCTTATGGCAATGCTTCCTTTAAATGGATATAGACATAAGAAAGAGATTCAATCAAATTTAATTCAATTTCACCACATTTTCAAAAAATTTCTTTTTTTATTTAATCTGTAATCTGAAAAGTAGTTATTTCACACTGTTTTTGATACAGCAAATTAATATTTAACAACACAACTAAGCACAGTGAAACCTCAATTTACATGAACTTTTGGGAGGCACAGAATTTTTTCCAGAGACTACGTTGAAGAAAACCTTTAGGAGCAACCATCAAAACCTCTCTGAGTGACCAGGCAAACCTTCGCAACCAAATGTGGAAAAGGTTAATTAAGGGAATATCAAAGCAAAAATTGCTAAAACAAATAAGTAGATAAAAATGTATTCAAAATATTTGTACGACGCTCTTATTTTGAGAGCTCTTTTCGACAATCTTTGAAAGAGATCTACAACCAAGGGACTATCAATGATTTATTTTTAGAGTTAAAAGTCAAATAAAAAAAAATTATTTCAGAAAAAACTAAGCATCTCAAAAAACACGCTTCAAAGCTAATTTTTATGATATATAATTAAATGTAAACTTGAACAAAAAACAAAATTTTTTTATTTATTTAAAATAGTTCTATCTTTCATAACTGGTAAATTTGTTTTAACACATAATAACACAAGACGCCAACACAAGGGTCATTTCCGCATCAAGAAAAGGACACTAACTGAAATTAAAATTGGTTGCGAAAGATCATGTACATGCGTTAACATTTTGAAATCAATGGAGGTAACCCTTAAGAACGACAAACCACAATTAAAGACAGAGATGCCAACTGCTCCTGACAAGCTAAAATAATTTAAAAAATGGTAAATAAATACAATTAAAAGTTGAAAATATTTGACTAATTTTTCTTACTTTTTAAAAGAAACAGCATTAATTAATTACAGCAAATTGGCGAATTATATAAGCCTTCGAATTATTTTGAAATAGTGGTGGATAAAAACCTAATAACTTAAATTTATTAAACCAAGAATCACAATTAATAAACTACCACTCAAAAATATTAATTCGCTGTCCGGAGCAAGTTGGCATCTCTGTAAAGACCATTTTACAAAATAACAGAGAGCGGTCCCTATTGAGAGGTTTCACTATACATCATTTTGCTTGAGTTTTGCAACTATTTAAAGTAATTTATTTTAATTGCTATAAATAAAACTATTAATCTTTTTATTTATAAATTAACAGTGTTATACTTTTATTATTTGAAGAATAAGTCTAATAGGATAGGATTATTTTAAAAGAACACTATGGAATTAGTAGTGAACTTTACATTAATTATGCTCGAACTAAAAATAGCTATTAAAATGAAAATAAGACAATGAATGTAAAACACAGTATTAAATATTTATTCACACAGTAGAATAAAGAAATCAATAACATTCATTCAATATTGAAAAATAATAAAGATAGTAATTACCTGAGGTACAGCACCATGTTCTTCTTGAGAAAATGCAAATCCATCTAAAAGACACAAGGCATCATTAAAGAAAAAAAAAACTGACCAATTTCTTTAAAGCCGAGATAAATTAATAACAATAAATATTTGAAAACACAATTCCTAAAAAAGGAGACACTTTTTTAACTCAATCAATATACTTAAGTAAACATTAAACTGACTTAACTGAGTAAACATTAACTTTAAGAAATAGACATACTGGGAAGTTAAATCAAATTCTAATGAAAGTTAGTGCAAAAAACTACTAAAAAATTTTCTTATCCCGGTTCTTCGGTGATATTTTATCATATTTACAACAGAACATTAAATTGCGAGTACAAAATAACTTCGATTAACTGAATCGCCTTTAGTTGAACATCTTGGCTAACCAAAATATTTTACTGAAAGTATTGGCTATTTTTATGTTTTCTTTTTTAATTAAGAATGTGCTGTGAAAGAAAAGTAGCTATTTTATTATTTCACTTTAATAATGTGACCTGTTGTTGCTCAGCTTCAACAAATTCCAGCCTCTTCCCATATTTATAGAATAATAAAGATTAAAAAATATTGTACTTTAAAACTCTTTTTGACATTTGAAGGAATTCTTCCACTAATGACATAAGCATAGTATGGAAATTTCGGAAAAGCTAGAGAAAAATTTAGAACTATACATGCTTCGAATTATTGTATAAAATTAGAAAACTTTACTACTAGCCAATTGCAGCATTTTTACTGTGACCACATTTTTAAAATTAAACGATTGACAAAAACTGCTGACATTAACAATGCAGTGATATAAAATGAAGCTTATGAAGAAATTCTCAAAATATTTTAAACAATGCATGGATCATTTCTAAAATGATATAAAATGAAGCTAATGAAGAAATTCTCTAAATATTTTAAACAATGCATGGTTCATTTCTAAAATGAAGAAACAAGTGCAAAAACAGCAACCCCTAATCAGTTACCATTAGTGACAATAAAAAATTTTTTCCAACGCCCTTTAGTTTTACAACAAAATGAATGAGGGTAAATTTAAGAAATAATTATAAATTTTTTGCACGAACATAAAAATTTTAAAACCTAGGCAGAAATGGCTTATCACACTGAATATAATAAATAACTGCCAAAAAACCATAAATAATTGTTGTAACAACTGCAAAAAATTACAAACACCAGTAAGTAAATGATAGGAAAAAAACGTGTATTCACAATGGAATAGTGTGATTACTGAAGTTTGTAACATTGCATTAAAAAGTATTGGAAAGACAAGGTAGAAATAAGCGAAAAAGATAGGGATATAATGTTTATTTACAATAGAATAATTTTGAATCAAGTTTGTCAATCGTAATTACTCAAGTGTGAAATTCGCGTATCCTTAATAACATCATTCATTTCAGAATTTGAAATACCATGTGAAAATGAACTGAAAACGGCTTGGATTTATGAGGGAATCGTCACAAATAAGAGGCACAAAAGCAGAAATTAGAATTATCATCATATTAAAAACATTAAAATTCGAAAAATAATGAAAAAATGAAAGTAAAATGACGTAAATTTATAATAGAATCGTCAAATCAAAAAGTGATAACTTAAATGCATAAATCATGTATTATATTAAATATTTCAGAATTTGATAAATCTTCGGGAATTGGTTTAAAAAACGATCAGAAAACAAAGTGGATTTACAATGGAATTGTCGTGAACCAGGTGCGTCAAAAAGCAATAACTTATTTTCAAAAACAATGCTTTGTAATAATATCATATTAAGTATATTGGAATTTAAAAACCCACGAGGAAAAGGACGAAAAAACGCTTAACAATCTCTGGAAAAAATTTACCTTTTCATAGAATGAGTTATGATTTTCGTAGACCATAGAAACTACAAAATTGTTAGAAACTCTGCAAATGCAACGCAATATTAGAATATAAAATATTCATAATAATTCCATACTGTGGGAATAGTAGTTACTGACAATGTCAACCTTCATTTATGAAAATATACCCCAACATAGAATCGAGTTAACATGTCTTATATACAAGGGAATTGGAACTGCATTTTTGTAGTGGTAGATACACTACAGTACTCCTCCACCAGAAATATATCTGTGATAGAATTTGATGACCGGATACCACTAGTTGATTCATCGCAGTTTTGTGAGAATCGGGGAGAGCTGTATTAAGTTCACGGTCAGGGACGTTCCTGTGCAGCCTTTAGCAGTCGAGTGTATACAAGTTGATGTTGTGTGTTCTCATGACTGAGTAGCAACAGCGCGAGGAGGTGGATAATGTTGCAGTCACAAGTAGCAAGTCAACTGTTCAATGGGGACCATCCATCAAAGTAGGCGTGTTCAAATTGAAGTAGGAGTTTCTGCGAAGGTGAGCGTGTTCCCATCACGTCCGAAGGTCATCAATGTGGGGAGAAGACTTATCGACAATGTCAAACTTCAACTATGAAAAGGTACCCCAACATAGAAACGAGTTAACATGTCTCATATACAAGGGAAGTGGAATTGCACTTTTGCAGTGGTAGATACACTACACATACTTATGAAAGAAAATAGTAATAAAATGTACAATATATACATTATTATAGACATCATAAATCATGATGTCTAATATTTTAATTCACCTCCACTGGAAATAAATCTATAATGAATGAATTTGAAGTGGATTTTTTGGTGAAAATTACAAAATTTTATATTTGATTAGGTAGGTCCTTTTTTCAGTTCTCAAATTGACATAAAATTTCAAATTAATCATTATTTTGTTGATTGAAACAAGATAAGGTGGTGGTAGCTGAACTTTTAAAAAGTTGAAAAATAAGGACCATTCAAATGCTGCACATGGGGTACAATTGTTTAGTCGCCATTTGTTATATTTAGCAGTTTCGTGGCCTGTGGCTAAATGTTAATTTTTCCCTATCCATGTAACACAAAGAAAGATATATTGCATTTAGGTATTTATTAAAATTTTTTTTCATTGAAATAAACATAGGTAATTATAATAAATTAAGTAAACAAAACAATCCCATTAGAGTAAAACAATGCTATTCAGGCATTGTTTGACTCTGATGTAAACAGACGCTAAGTCTTAAGGAAATTGCGGAACATATTCAAGAAATATTTACTAAAAAATATTCCAAACAATAATCAAATTAGCTATTATTGAACAATCTGAAAATTAAGAGTTTGAGCAAGAAAATACATTTAGAATGCTTCAATATAGAGCTAATGAGAGAGAAATTCTTTAAGTATGAAGTTTTAATAAAAGCAGCAGAAATGAAGCATATAAAGCTGTTGGAAAAATAAAGTTATAAAGCAATATCAATTGCAAAGAAAGAGGAAAGATTGTATTTTGCTAAGATGGTTATCAAAAATTTAATGAATGTGATGATATTACTCTTAAAACAGATATTGAACTTAATCCAAAAAAATAAAACAAAATAAAAAGCTTACGCATTTCAGAAACACTAGAAATCAAACTTTCCCAAACATTAAAAAGTCTATTTTCCGCATACGTCTCTACATTGAAAAAATTATAATAAAAATTTTAAAAAATACCAATATAAACAAGAAAACAGAAAAAATAAAAAGTGATATTTAAACAAATAAATAAAATGCATGCCATGCAGTATGGTTATAAGAATTGACAATATATTTTCGAGAAATCAGAGGCACTCTAGACTTTCCTCAACACACGTGGAATTCAATAAAATAATGTTTGAGTCATATGTACTGAAAACTAATACATTTCTGTTTTAATACAAATATGAAACACAAGTAATATAAATCAAGTTTGAATTATGGTGTAATTCTCATGATTTTATTGTATCTATTAGCAAGAAAAAACTTATATCAGAGTGTTCCAATTCCCCCATATGCTACAAAAGCAATAATCAACTGGATTTGTTGCATATGAAATAACCAAAAACAATAATAACAGTTAATTAAAAATTTTCAACTTCTTCCAAGAAATTAGATTAACTTAATGACCAATACTAAGCAAAAGATAATCTAAATCCAGAACAATTAAAATAGGAAGGCAGGACCCACTGGTATTTGTTTGAGAGTCTCAGGTGGCATTATCACACAAAATTTCACAATAGGTTTTGGCATATGAGGGAAAGGGGTAAAAGAGGGTAGAAAGTTAAATGGATATATTTACAGAAATGAGGTATTGTTTCTGATATAGTTTTTTACATCAAATAAGATAAACCATGAGATGTTAGGGCTAATAGTTTAGAAGCTATAATGGCTTTATTTTTAGAAGAAAAAAATTTTCAAAATAGTAAATACTATACAAAAAACTTGCATTTTCTAAATTTTAAATTCAATTATATCGTATTTAGTTTAACTGGATTCTGTAATATTATTGGGTTCAGTAATATCATTGGATTTAGAGTAAATTCATTGCATTCATTAATATCATTGTAATTTCATTAGCTTCAGAGTATTTCCTCTTTCCTTTACAATCCTCCGGTCAAAATCTGCCAAACCAAGATTTAAAGGAGAGTCCACTATAAACAAATTAAAATAAGTTCTGCCTTCCAATTTTAAATGTCTACTTCAGACGCTAATTTGACAATATAAATACTATTTAATCATTTTCTGAATTAGTCCTAAGTTGTTTTTTGAAGAAAAAAAATTAAATGAATTAAAACTTTGTTAGAAAACTCACGCTGAAGTTCCATCTCTAAAGGAACAGTAGATACATGTGATGATGGCCTCCTAAATACATTCTTCAACAATCTTGCAGTCTCAGTAAGTCTAAATAACAAATAGAGTAATCAAAAAGTTAATTAAAATGATAACTGTTACTAACAAGCTTAAAATTAAATGCATGAAATAGGGAAATGAAAAAGTAAAAAAAGATAAGCAAATGAAGTAGCTGTACTCCAATTAATTAAATGATTTACACACTAATATTTGTACAATAATTCTAGATATTTATAACATTAAATTTAAGCAAAATATAATTTAAATTAAAAGATGAAACACAAATACATAATTTCTCTGAATAAAATATACCTAAACCGTGGAGAGTAACTACAAATCGAAATATATATTTAAAATGTTTAGATATGAGTGTGGTTAAAAATTTGGGTAAATAAATGTTAAATTTACTTTTTTTCATACTGGGCAATATCTCTTGCACTATTTTTTGTAATAAATGATTTTTGAACACAAATTTTTTTAAATAACCTAACTTGTAATTATAAATTAAAAAATCCAAATTTGGAAGAAAAATGGCTAAAATGTTTCTGAAAAAAAGTTAATTATTCAAATTTTTATTTCTCAAAAAATATGAAATCAATTTTGTTCAAAATTTGGATTTGGCCATCTAAAATTAATTGGTTAAAAAAGACACAGAAATTTAAATACCCTATAATTCAAAAATATTTCCCCATTATTAAATAATAAAAAATTGTAATTTGCATGAAATTATCCTTTTATTATATAAAAATAACAATACTTGCCTAAATCCACAAACAGTTTTGTTATTCCCCCCTTTGATTTCATGTTTCAGTAGTAGGAAAAACTTGAATGTCTAATTTATTCTATTAAATGTGATCAGGGATGATTAATCTAGTTTTAAAGTTCAATTTTTTAACCTGAATGTTTAAAAAAATGTAAATCAAAAATTAAAGATATTTCTGTTTCATTTTACAAAAAAAAAAAAAAAAAAAAAAAAAGGTTTAAAATATTATAAATAGTACTTTGAGAATCACTTTTCAAAAATTATTATTAACTAATCCTCTTTTTGATACAAATAAATTTGTACAACTTAAAAGTAGACATTTTTAATTGCATTTTTGTGCAGTTATTATATGGCTGATCACTAAAGATGTTTTCAATGTAACACTTAAAAAATAAAGATCCTAAAGCCCCTCCTCAATAGAAATGCTAAATAAAGAAAATAAATGATCATTTTCAAGCTAGAAATTTAGAATAACTTTGAATAAGCAGCTGCATTCTCCTTTGAAAATCTTCTTTATATCAGAGAATCTTGATAAATCCAACGAGTTTTGATAAATAATGCATGAAATATCCTAAATATAAGAAAAAAATTTTTTGAATAAGATTTCGCCAAGTTTGATATTTTGGATAAGATGCTGAATTTCTAGTACTTAGCTGGAAAAGTACAGTACACAGGATTTATTTAAACTATTTGCACATAAAAATAATGCTTAACTAATTTTGTTAATTGGATGGCTCATATTTAAATTAAAGTTAGTCAGTTAAAAAAAAATTCGTCTTTCCTTTATAGTGAATAATTTTATTAATATTTAAATCAACTACCATTTGAAAATCAGTTTAGAATAAAATTAGTAGATTAGGATAAGCTGGAAAATATTTTAAGCAAATTTAATATATAGTATTAAAACTAAAAAACATTTAGTAAATTGTTTTCATCATGCATTTCAAAATATTTTAATCCTTTAACTTAGGTTTTTAATAAACATACATGCCCAATAAATTAATTAGAATAATAATAATGAAGGCACCACTTTCTTCAAATTATTAATTGAAAAATTTGTTTCATCAAAATAAAAACATAATTGTATTTTAAATCAAGTAATTGCATTTTAAACATAATTAGTTATTAAAAACATATTTCAATAATTATTAATATCATATAGAATTAACACCATACTTACAATAACAAATTGCTATAAACATAAAATAATAAGTAGTGTAATAATGAAAGCAAAAAAATTATTTTCAATTTAAAAAAAAAAAAAAATTATAAAAAGTTAATATGAAGATTTAGTTTGAATGATTTTTTCCCCTATTGAAGGAGATCTGATATGTAGGGTGAAACTCGAATATTTAAAAAATTGACTTTGAAATTATTCAATATTAAAGCAGATATTTTGGTTATAATTATCAAATTAAAAGTTTTTCATTTAAATGTTTTACCTTAATTTAAATAATTATTTTTCGACAGAACAATTATGATTTTAGTTATAACTTCTACTTATTACATTTAGCTATAATATAATAAAATGATTTCAATGTTGATATATCGTGAACGTATAAAAATACCATAAATATTTACTTGTAACTAAAAGAATAACTAGACTCACCAAAGGTAAGAATATAAGAGGTTGTGTTCCTAGGTATGTTATTTCCCCGAGAATAAAACAAAAAATTGACAATTCTAAACTGATAATTGCTTTAAAATAGTGTGGATTGATTGGAATTGTACTATTTCATTATTCAGTTAAACTTTAAAAAAATAAAAGTTACACTTTTGAGACTACACAGTTTTTGGCTTATATGAAACAAAAACAATTTAATTCTCTGAAAAAGGACAATACAAGTTTATAATGAAAATAAATAATAATTAAAGTATAAAAAAAAATTAAAAAATTATGATATTTTTTTTAAAGTTAAATATTTTTGTCATCAACTCTTAAAACTTTTCATTACTATTAAAATAAGCCCTCTTCTCTTCCATTACACTCAAGAGGAAAGATTATGATTCTCTAACCTTGACAAAACTTTAAACACTCCACTTTTATTTAATGGCTATGCGGCATTAAAAAATGCGCGATTATGAAGAGTTTACACATATTAGAAGAAAACCACAGCTTTAATTGTAATAATGGTGAACTAATACCATGATCTATAATTGAGATTGATTTTTTTTCTTCTTTACAACTAATTGCAAACAATGAGTACTTATTCTTTTTGACATCATTATGCAACAAAGTTAACACAGTACTTCTTTTGAAGTTGAATTGATGTATTAGACAAATGGGAGTAATTCCTTTGCAATATGTTAAAAAATTTCACATTGAAAATACACAATACTATCTTAAAAAGTTACAGTATATTTAAAGAGTATTTTTTAATAGTGAACTATTGAGAATAACTGAATTTCAAAAGATGACACAGAGATACCTAAGTTATTGTGTTAATATCTTTTCCAGATTATATGATGTCACAAAAATTTTATTAGATGCTGTAGTTTCTGTAAATTGTATTGCCTCTTGTTAGTTACTCATAAAAGAAAAATGGGTGTAATTTTTCCAAACTTGTGAATATGCACTTAACATTTTTGACTTATTTTTACAGATGCTTTTGATAGGATAGATAATCTATAATTAATATTATTTTTATTAAAACTCATACAATTTAAAACTTTAAGTTTCTAATATGCTTTTATACTTTTGTTTTGTTTTTAATAAACTATGAAAAGAATATGTATAATTTGTAACAATAGTACCCAGTGTGTTCTGTCAAATGTTTATTAAAAAGCTATTTTAGCAACTAGTGCAATTTTATTGCAAAATATGAATTAAATATTTTTCAACAAATATGTTTGATAATTATTTCTTGAAAATATTGAGTTTCTGTACAAAAATTTATTTGATGTAAAAAATTATTTTGGTATATTTTATATGATCACTCATATAAAATACAATTAAAAATGGTTAAAATTTAGGATAGTAAAATGTGTATTTAAAATGATATATGTTGACAAGTATTTTTATTAAAATATATATAAATAAAGACTAACATAATATTTGTTTATATAAAATAATTAACCATATTTAGATTCAGTCATATTCAGAATTAAGAACTGTAATAATACAGCTTAGCTAAGAAATATAGTCAGCTCTGTTTTTGAGACAAATTAAAAGCTATTTTAAGGCAGTAAAAAAATAATGGAAAATTTAATATTTCATTAAGGTTATGAAAAGTAAAATTGGATCACAATAACAAGAAGATGCAGAATTATAGACTGATGATTAAAGATTAGTACATGAAATGTTCAAATTTACCTTTAAAGTTATTAAATTAAAAGTATTTGTGAAGGGAGGAACAATTTTGCAATTTGTTTATTTATTGCAACATTTTACAAATCAAAACTCTTAGCACATTTTGGAAGATAATAACTTCAGAGATAGTACTAATTTGTACACATGCAAAATATTGACAATATAGCATACAAAGTAAAAAGTTTTGTACAATGATTTTTTGAGTAAATTTGTGAAAAGATTCCCCAAAATATATTCCCCTATGTGAAAATAATTATAAAAACAAAATTGTTTTTGTTTTTATCATTATTAAAAGCATGCAGATGATACTGTATTATCTACAAGCAGGAGGATGAAGGATTAAAAAGTTTTATTATGCAGAACAAGGATGATTTATAATAAATGCGATTCAGATTGGTTCCCAAGTTTTTAACTTTATCTACTTTTTTTGAAAACAGAAAAATGAAATTGCTAAAAAACTGCCTCTGCTAACTATAAAATGTGCTAACAATTTTGAAGCATAAAAAGAAGCACAAATAGAAAATTAATTTTCTTTCCATTTAAATTTGAGAATCAGAGAGGTTATACACATGCAGATTATAGGAAAAAATGCAGAAGCAGAGACGGACACAAAAGCACTCGTGCTACATAAAAAAACTTCAAGATAAAAATTTATTTCTGGACATTTGAACAGACAGCACAAACATATCAAACAACAGGGATATAAATTTGTCAACAGATTTGAACACAATCAAAATATATACTAAAGTTTCAAAACAGAAAATATGAAAGTTTTTGGTTTACATGATGGTAAAATATCACAGTGCAATATTATCTTAGATAATGTGACTAGAAAAAAAGGAAAAATTAAAATAATACTTATTCACATTAAATGCGTTACAAATATAAAAAATATGATAGATGCAAAGTTTTTAAAAGCAATGATGAAGGATGCATTCAAGAAAAAGTTTTGATCTAGATTCATAATGATCACCTCTGTCTTGTTGCATGTACAATAACTGTGGCAGGATCAGCTTTTGCAATTTCACTTTCTCGAACTGCTTCTGCTAAGCTTTTAGATACTGATCTTCTTAACCTACAAATGTCAGTTTCTTATAATTAAAAACAAAAATCAGAAAAATGAAATAGTTTAGAACTTTGAAATGTTTACATTGCTCAAATTTTTCAATTTACTTTACTCAATAAATAGATCTTTAAAGAAGTATTCAATAGTTAATTTGTTCCAAGTTAAAATTACCAAAAAGATCAAATTAAATAAATAATTTCAAAAAACTGATGTGGTATAACTTGATTAAAAACTATATTAGTTTAAAAAACAAAGAAATTAGAAATAACAATCAATATGTTTCAAGCACTCAAAAATAGATGCCCATTTTCAAGACTTGCTAGACGTGAATGAGAAGAAACAAAAGTGATTAGAGAAATAAAACGTACAGTTGGCAGCGAAGAAGATGAAAAAATAAAGGTGAGAAACAAAACTAGAAAAACTAAAATAGTTGAGGGAAAAAAACAGATGAAAAACAATTCGAGAAAAACCACAGTGGCCGGAAGGAGTAAAATGCATTTCCATGATCTATGGAGAGGCGGTAAGGAACTAATGTCATTAACAAGGGAATCAGCATTCATATTAATAAATTATCTTTATATGAAAATTTTGTTTCTTCTCATTCATATCTGGCAAGTCTTGAAAATGGTTGCTTATTTTTGAGTGCTTGGAACATTTTGATTTATTTTAAATTTGTATATTTTTGAAACAAATGAAGTTTTCAATCCAGTAATACCAAAGGGATCATAAAAAAATCTGCAATTTAAACATTTTTGAAGTTAAACCCTTAAAAACTTCTAAATGAATTTAAGGTTTAGTTAATGGTGCTTAGATACCCATAAATTTTTTTTTTAAGATCTAACCAATATTTTTACTTTAAACACAGACTTTAAGTGTAACTTTGACTGTAGAATGGTTTGATAATAGTAGATAGTTATAATGTAAACAATACTTACACTTTAAAGATAAAATCTCCAAGGAGAGTAAAAAATGGAATAATTATAACACCCATCCAAAATACTCCTGATGACAATAAAAATTGGTCCTGAAAAAATTAATAAAGTTAATTTCACTAAGTTGACAATAAACAGATTTAAAAAATACATTTTACCAATTAGTTCACTTTAATCAAGTTCAACTATATAAATAGACAAAACCAACTATAAAAATTAAATTGAAAATTGCATTTTGTAGAATTCAACTGTATTTTGTAAAATTCAATTGTATTTTGTAGAACTAAACTGTATTTTATAGAATTAATTTGTATTTTGTTTACATAAAAATGAGGGAAAATTATCAATTAAAATAATCATTTTAGAAAAGTAATAAAATCTAATCATATTTACTTACCATGCCAACCATATCTGCTGCAATAGGAAAAGTTGGCCACATATTGCTATAACCCCACAAGAAAATAAACCAGCTAGCTATACTTCCCCAAATGGCCAAATGAGTAAGCTACAAATAAAAAAAAAAAATATTTTTTACAAAAATTGTTTTTAAAATCCACTCATCGATATGCAAAGGTAAAAAACTGGACCAATTTCAGATATGAAGAATGATACTTAATTATACTGTTTTATTTTTAAATTATATTTTTATGTTATTGTGGTTTTAATAATAATTAGAACGAGTTATATAAGTTATGAAATAAATAATTTGACTACTAAAAAAAGATGTTCACGGCCAAATTTAGAATTACGCAGCAATATACATTTTTCTGACCAGAATCCAAATTTTTACTGCCCTTTTGATTACCTAAAAATATCTAATAGTTTTTTCATTATTATACAGTTTGAAGAAGAAAAAAAAGTTTAACTAACTCCAATTCCCTCTTACTTTTGTTTGATTTTAATTACATTATTTAACATTTATTTTACGGCATTTTAGCTAAAATAATAGCTAAAAAGAAATGTTAATGAAGAAAGAATATCTTTTATGAATTTGTATATATAATGACATAAATAATCATTAGCAAATAACTTATTTGTAATTTTTGCCAACTTTTAAGGACAGAAAATAGAGATGAAATTTTCCATACACTTCTTCTACTACCAAAGTTGATGATCAAAGATAAGGAAGAGTTAAGAGCTTGCAAGTTGGATAAAAGTAAAAAGTGGAAGCTTATATTCTGTTGAAAAAATCATTTAAAATTTATAGTATTAACTTAAATTTTATAATAGAAATACATAAAAAATTTGAATTTTAATAGTTGTTATTTCAATATTTTCCAAGTTCCTTATCAGAATTGAAAGAGTTTTGCTTTATTAACTAAAGCGAGCCATATAAAGTCACAGGGTCATATGCAATTATACTCATTGCTTCCCCTTGTCTTAGTGATTATATTATTAGAACCATTCACTTACCCATGTCCAAGCATTCATTTCTAAACCAGCTTTCATACAAACAGTTATCACCACAAACTGAAAAAATAAAATGTATCAATTAAATATTTATGTTGCAAATATATTATAAGAGATAATCAGCCAATATTTTGGTACTGACAGTGTAAACCATGTTTCCAAAAAGAAGATAGCCACCATCTCTTCCGTTAGCCCAAACAATATCTGAAGCAAAAGTGTATATTATTAAAGAAAGCAAATTTAAATTGTTGAATATTAAAAGGAAAATATGAAACTTATTTACCATGATCAACACTCAAGTATGTTAGCCAAAACAATAGTATAGAATGAGCAATTGAATCAAAAATCCAAACCCAAAAAACCTACAGAGGAAAAAAAAACAATTACATTCTAAGTACAAAATACAAAACAGGTAATAATTACACGAAGAGGTCTACAAAAGTTCAATATTTCTAGGCGCCAGCATGTTAATGAATGAAAAGTAGCATAAAAGCCTGCATTAAAAAAAAAAATGTAATCACAAACATTTTAAACCTTATTACATAGTACATGCTTTTTGATTCCTTTGTTATCAACATCAGTTCCTCTTCCTCACCGCCACCTAATAGCATGTGGAAATGTATTTTACCCCGATTTGCCTCTCTCCGCCAGTGGTTTTACTTGTTCTGATCTTTCCTCCTCATTTTTGCTACGCTCTCAACTATTGTGGTTTTCTAGTATAGTTTCTCACCTTTACTTTTAGTTTACATCCTTACGTTTTATATTTCAAATCAATGCTTTTCTTATTAACGTCTGACAAGTCTTGAGAATGGGTGACTATTTTTGTGCACTTGAGACACGTCGTCCATTGGAATAGTTTTGAAGCCAGTGAAGTTTCTTAATCAAGTATCACACGCCGTTTGATTTTTAAAGACAAATACCAATCCTAAACAGATTATTTTAGTTCAAATCTTGTTGTCAAGGAAGGTTCATTTTAAGATCTGAATGCTAATAGAAAAAGTAAATTTTAAGAATGTCGTGGCCAAACGGAAAAAAAAAACTCCTCCCTCCTTCACTTTTTTAGACCCATATGAGAAAATAATTTGTAGAGCCTTGACATTAAGATCTAGAGCCTTGATCTAAAATATATGTAAATAAAATAATGATGTAATATGGAGAAGTAGTTAAACAATATTGTATTTATAGTTTACAAATGGTAAAAAGGCTTTCTGTTTTTGTTCTTTTTTTTAAAATTTCAGATCGTGCAACATGATGAAGAAGTGCTTTTAAAACCATGAATGGCAAAGAAGTTGTGGTGTTGGAACGTGCCTGTAACTGTTATATTACCTTTTTTCTTTGTTTTATAAATTTGATTTCCTTCCTCAAAAAACAAAGTTTTTGTGCTCATAGTTGCATCGAGGGATTTCTATGAATTGAAAACTTTCTAAATAATAAATAGGAGAAATCCATAATAACATAATTAATAATCTAGATAATGTAAAGGGTTGATAAATCTTATTATAATAGGTGTGATAAAGTTAAGAGTTCCACCATGTATTTATATCAATATTTGAAAAAAAAAAACCTTAAAAATAATTAACATTCAATTAATAATTTTTTAATATTAAAATAAAACCAATAATAATAATAAAATTAACCAATTTTTTTTTGTTGTAAAAATCAATGAATTCAAGTCATATATAACATTATTACAACAGTGAACACAACATTTTAATGGACATTAAAAACAACATTCATAAATTTGTTGCACACGTACTTGAACATTAAAGAATTCTGATGACTGTGATGTTTTATACAAAGCAGGAAATTTAAGCATGGTTTCTGCACTACAGGTACGGTCGAACAAACCTATAGCCAACGGCGGAGCAGCTGTAAATATCTGTAATACACAGTTTAAGAAGTTTTAATAAAAAGAATTCTGCACCTATCAAAATATTTCATTCAAACTAAGAACAAATAATGTGGTTTTAGGATTAAAAGCAATTATTTTAAATTACTTAAGTGATTATCACAGATGAAGTTTAATAATTACATTTGTAACTCAATTTAGTCTAATTTTCCCAGAAAATTTTCATTTAACGCTTGTTCAAGAATGCAAAATTAAAATTAAAAAAAATTAAATTTTTAAAAATAAACAGCTATTGCTCGTACTAAATTAGAGATGCAAAATACAAATATTCGGTATTTAGCCTATACTGCACAACACGGAATATCCATTTCGGACGAATAATGGAAACAAAATCACTCAGAATTTTACTAATTTCAATTGACATATTTTAAATAACACAACTTGTTTCACTAGTTATGCATCACTTCTAATGTGTTACACATTGAGTAAACTTAAACAATTCTTAAATTTATAATATTTTTTTTTAAAAATTGACATAAGTTAATTTTTATTTACATAATATTTTATCAATCAATTTTATGAACAATATATTGCTCAATTATTTATTTACAAAAAAAAATATCATTTAATATCAATAAGAATGTACACATGTTTGCAGATATAGAAATATTTTCTTAGAATACTACATTTAGAAATTATAATTTTTCTTTGACTTCAGAGAGGTTAAGGTACAAAATATAAATGAAATGAGATCAAACTTAGCCTTAGAATTAAAGCAGAAAAACATTATTAACAAAATATTAGAGCAATATACTTCGATTGTCAGTAGATTTGAAAATAACTATAATAACTGAACACTCAGCATCTTTCCCGCCCATTTACAGCTATATGCAAATGTCTATTGAGTGTCTCTTGTGAAAGGTCCGATCGAAAGATAAATTATTTTGTGAAGGGTCCATTTTTAAGTTAAAATATTTTGTCAAGGATCCGTTTTTATGAAAAGATATTTTGTGAAGGGTCCGTTAAACAGACCCCTGATACTGCAAGTTAGCAACTATTTGTTTTTAAAATGTTTATAATTGTAGTGAAGAATAAGAAAAAAATTTAAAGGAAAAATATTTCATAATTTATGTAAATTAATCCTTCATTTTCATGTTAACAAATATATACTTATGTTCCATAAGGGCCATAATTAGTATATACTTACAGAATCCATAAGATTATCACACTAGAAGTCAAAATTTAAAGGGAAAGATATAAACAGCTTTTAAAAGTCTGACGAATCATTATCATGGTATATCAGATAAAAGAACATGTGAAAAACAATTGCTAAATCAATGAAATCCACATTCTGAATTTAATTTAAATCACTTGATTGTCTCTCAACTGTATACTATTAAAATAAATTTCTCTAATAATCAGTTGCAACAAGCATTGACAGTTAAGGTATTGAACTGTCAATGGGAAGAACCTATGGCAGCTTGAAACCCATTCTGCTTCAAATGGATGGGTACCAGGTTGGCTGAGAAGTGAGAGGGGCTGGTGCACAACGCTGATCACATTGCTACCATCATGCTGTTGGTCACAGAGCTGTGGAACCTTAAGCTGCATGACCACCAAGTCCTCAACACGCTGTTTTAGGAATGCTTTCATAGGTTGTAACATCACAAAATGACAACTATTTATAGCCAATGAATAACAAAGAATTCAATTCAGAAACCAACTAGGCTTAGAATTTTGTTCTTCTACTTTCTTTTGTTCTACTACTCTTCCTGTTTTCTGCACTAAATTGATTTTGCAAGTAATTTATTCACGTTAAAATCTACCAGATAGTTAATCACCAGATAGTTTATTTGAGCATGTAGCTAAAGGTAGTTACAAAAATAAGTTTATTAAATTTCAATTAACAGGAATCCCACTCCAGGTTTTGTATAAGAAAAAACTAAATTTTTATAAGTTAAAAACATTTTTCATATAAGAAAAAAATTAGAATTTTTTGGAAGAAACACATTTTGCAGCTAAAGAAACCACTTTTGAAGCAGATAGACACACATCAAATATCATAATAAATAAAATACTTCCTTCGAGGACTAACTTTGGAATTACTTTTTGTATTATCAACACTTTTTACACTTTTGTTTTCTTCATGTTAATTGAATAATTCTCACTGAAGACAGCCAATATTTAATTTTTCATTGAATCCCATGATCTTGAATAAACTAAAGTTACGTTTCGATCTTATAAATCTGCCTAATCGTGCATGAAGGAGAAAAACTCCATAAGAAAAAAAAAATGCTGGTAAGGGAGGAATAAAAGTTTTTTGCAATAACAGGACCCTATTTGCACAAATTCACAAAAGCAGGACCCTGGTAGAAAGAATGACATACTTAACATTTATTTTATATTCCCAAATTACGAGTATTTTTTTCACCAATTTTACAAAAACGGATCTTTTAAAAAATGTTTTTACAGACCCCTGAATGAACTTATTATTTTTATAGTTTTTATTCATTCTTTTCTCAACATTGATGATGATTAATCAAAGTTGATAATTTTTTGTTATTTTCTCTCAATAGAGTATTAAATTGCAACACATATTATGAAAACAAAGATTTCAATTTTTTACAAAGATTTTGAAAGTATAAAGTTTGCTTAAAATAGAACATATCGCATGTTGTGACAGTATTAGCTGAAGAGATTACATTTGAAAGCAACATTATGCAAATTTATTGAAAAAAAATTTCAGGTTTCATGACATGTTTTCTTCACTTACCACATTATATAAGCCGATCGTCCACCGTTCGAAAAGAGTTTGACCAGACCAGCCACTGACTATTGCAAACCATAGCTGTAGAAGGAAAAAAAGAAAAAATTAAATTTATTCAAAAACTGACTGAACTGTAAACATTATGAATCCTTTTCAAAATCGATACTCACCTCTATGACATATAAACAGATATTTTTGTGAAAGGAATATAAAATAAGCTTGCATAATCGTGCATGACTCCAAGCTCCATGGACAAACAAGAGACGAGTCAAATAACGAAACTATAAAGTTTTAAAAATTAGATATAACAAAATTCTATGCAAAGGGATACAATACAAAAAGATATCTTAACTACTTCATAAAAATAATACTGGAAAGAAAGTGATAATTACAGTAAATAAAGTTGTTACCTAAGGATTCTGAGAAAAATAAAGAATTTCTTCCCACAATTTGTCTCTTAGATGTAGTTTAAAAGTAATCTTTACAGTGAATTTCAAAATTTTAATATATTATTTAAAAAAATTATTATTATATTATTACTGTTTAGTAAAATTTAAAAGATTTTTTTAAAGTTGTAACGGTTTAATGAACATGTAATGGTTGGTTGAAAAAGCTTTCAAATTTGTAAATTTAAAAAAAAAAAAAAAAAAAAAAAAAAAAANTAAAAAAAAAAAAAAAAAAAAAAAACTAGAAATGAAATTTTAAAAAAAATCTGTAGCTTTAGAAGCAAAACTTATTTGCCCACCCAAATTTGGCAAGATCAAACATTAGTATAAATGCAACAAAAAATTTGTTTCCAAGTGTACTTTATTAAATGGTTGGAAAAAACAAATAGATAATTTCATAAAAATTAAAAATTTTGACTTCTAACAGTCTAAGTCTACTCTTTTTCAAAAAATGTTCAACTTTTAAAATGTTGTTCTGATTATCTAGTTTAAAAAATTTTATGTTAAAATTATTTTTGAAACACAAGTTGATAAAAAATAAAACACTTAATTCTCATCACTGATAATTTAGGTAATTTATTTGGAAACCTAAATTAAAGTTCTTGCACTAAAAAAAAAAAAAAANAAAAAAAAAAAAAAAAAAAAAAAAAAAAAAAAAAAAAAAAAAAAAAAAACTAGTTGAGAAAAATAGAAAATTTTTAGTTTTATTTTAAAGTTACATAGTTAGTAAAATTTAAACTATGAAATTTACAGACAAAACTTTGCACAAAATTCAATTTGTAAACGTCAAAATAAACAGTGAAATAACAATAATTTAGACCAGTGGTCCCCAACCTGAGGCATATCGCCCCAAAGGTGGTGATATGGCTCCTCAGAGAGGCTACAGTCTTCAAGTGGGCGATGACTATTCAAAAGAAAAAATTTGCAACTAATAATAATATATGACTTGCACCGATAATAGTGCTGACGTAAAAATAACCCCAATGGAAGATGGACCATAAATTAAGAGTCCCTTTGCTGTCAGGCTAACTATGGGAGGTTTTCGTGGTATATCTCCATGTAATGCAAATACAGTTTAGTTCCCTTAAAAGTCCTTCACAAAGCCAAATTTCCTTCAATACTTGATCTAGGAGTTTTCTTGCCTTTTGGATTGGGTTCAAAATTACAAAGAATACTGAGTTGAACATTAATAGGGGTAAACCAAAAATTGGGTCGGCTGTTCAATGACGTTTATAAAATAAAATAAATAATAATAAAGAAAAGTCCGCAAATCGCTTCTCATCTGGGTCCCGTCAACAGATGTAGTCGAAAGAAGACTTAATTCGGTTGTCCAACTTCTCATAAAACAAAGAAGTAGGTTGGACAATTGCTTTAAAGAAGATAAATCTGACCAACATAAAGTCTGATATTCAAGCTTTAATTGAAATCTACCAAGCACAAGGCAGTCATTGTAGAGGTAAAAACGAACAATTGAGTCTTGAAATTTTCAGTTTTTTTCTTTTCATTTTAATTTTCAACGTTTCAATTTTGTCGTTCAACGTTTTCAATTTTAATAGATTACATTAAAAAAGTAATTTTTGAAATTTTTTTAAGGGATACAATATTTTTTTAAAAAAAATTTCGGAAGTGACTGGATTAAATTGCTTTATTATTTAAATTTGAATTTAAATTAAAATCAAGTATAATTTAGCATATGTTCAAATTTATTGATGCTCACTTGCAACAATGTATGTTTTTTTCTGTTTCAATCAAAAAGAAAAAAGGGATGATAAATGTCAGCCAACTTCTAGAGGGAGGTGGTGAGCAACAAACGGTTGGGAACCACAGATTTAGACAATAAAAATATTTCATTAAAATCTGTTTATTTAGAACACATACCTGAGCAATTGAATAATCAGAGGCGCAAGTAGCTTGTAAACCTTCCACTCCACTTATTCCAATACCAACATGAGCAGACTAAAAATAAGTATGCATGTAAGTATTTACATGTACAAGTTTGTATAGGTAAAAGCACAAAAACATTTTAACTGTCTTGTCCCTTCGCAGTGATAAATGAATATATATATATAATATCGATATATACATTTTTACTTCAATTCACATTCCAATTTTAGAGAAGTCTTCTTTTTAATCAGTTTATAGGCATACAAAAATTTATACTTGAGATATTGACAATTTTAAGGTTTTGAGAAATTTTTTTTGTATATCTCATTTTAATATTATTTTTTAGCATTGCATGAATAAATTCGCAAGTTTTCTTAAAAAATAGTTACATAAATAGTCGCGTAAATTTTTACAGTAAAAAAGTAAGCACCTGAATCATAGCTACATCATTTGCTCCATCTCCAATAGCTAAAGTCACAGAATGAGTAGCCATATGAACCATATCCACAATTTCAGCTTTTTGTATTGGAGAAACTCTGAAAATTTTACATAAAATAAATTAAAATCAGAAAATAAAAATAAAAGATGTCATGTATCCAAATGCATTGGTACAACTGACTCTGTTGAGACGGAAATTTATGTGTGGTTGGAGTTTGTATAATAATATTGAACAATTGAAGATTGTGAACAGGGTGCGTAGCCAAATCTTTGAATTAAAAATAAGCACTTTTTTAAAAACTTTTCAAGCACTCAAAAAATTCATATTCAATCAGTGATATCATTGAAAAACAAAAACTTTTTATAAACAGTTTTAGCGTTAAAAAAAACCCAAAAAGAAACAGATGTAAATCGAAACAATCAGTACTTTCCCACATCATCGAGTGAATTCAACTTGACCCTGAACTCAGAACAAAAGTACCTGTACCCCCTACGTCAAAAAAGTGTTAGAAGTAAAATAAAATAAACAATAATAAAATTAAAATAAATTAAAAACATTTCATAAGGATCTGATATTCTCCATCTGAATTGGAGCACTCGGGGTTCGGTTTCAAGTGCGCGTGCTTGCGCAAGTCATAACGTGGGTACGACATGAAGTCCGCGTGAATGATTGCGTACCAAACACTCCCATTTTTTGTGAAATGCATGGGATCCACCAGATATCACTGAAGGGAGAAAAAAAATTATTCAGGGAAAAAAAGCACTTTTTAAAAACGCCAGCTGAAAAATGCACCTTTAAAAGCTTTTAAAAACGAAATCCCCAAAAAAGCACCTTTAAGTACCTTTTACAAACGCTACGCACCCTGTGTGAAGAAAACTGGATAATGAAAATGACAGTTGAAGATGAAAACTGGATCANCATGCGCAAGTCATAACGTGGGTACGACATGAATGATTACGCGTGATCCGCGTGAATGATTACGTACCAAACACTCCATTTTTCGTGAAATGCATGGGATCCACCAGATATTACTGAAGGGGAAAAAAATTATTCAGGGAAAAAAAGCACTTTTTAAAAACGCCAGCTGAAAAATGCACTTTTAAAAACGAAATCCCCAAAAAAGCACCTTTAAGTACCTTTTACAAACGCTACGCACCCTGTGTGAAGAAAACTGGATAATGAAAATGACAGTTGAAGATGAAAACTGGATCATAATTATAATAAAACTTTTATTTAGTAGAATTTGTAGAGCTCAAAATCTGAATATATTTTATCCATGATAATGTTCAAAGTTAAAAAAATTTAGCATAGTAATATTAATAAGGACAGGCCATAGGAGACAAATCCCCCATGACCTGCCTAATCAAAAGCCAAATTAAAATGTAATTCAATTGTTCCCAACAGACATTAGAATCATGAGAAGAGAACGATAGTTGGTGATTTATCAAAAAAAAAAAAAAAAAAAAAAAAAAAAAAAAAAAAAAAAAAAAAAAAGAAAAAAAAAAACATAGCCAAAAATAAAGTCAACCCCCATAATCAATATAAGGTTTGAAAAATACCTTGGCGGTCACGAATCGCCAACAAGACTGTTAGAATTATTATAACCATGTAACTGAAACATATTTGTGGTAAGAAATTTGAGAATAAAGAATTATAAATAGATTTTTGTTTTCGATTAGGCGCGACAGTGAATTAACGAGTCTGGATTAGTATTGAAATAAAAAGTTAGCCGTTACATTGATCAATAAGAAAAGAATAAAATATTTTATGTTCACCTTAATAAAGATTAAACTTATTGATTTAATTTGAATATAATTTGACTAAGAATGTTTAAAAAGAGTAAGTTTAAGTAATTAAAGATATTTTAAAAGTCACGAAATGTGTAATGCCATAATGTAATTGTGGCATCACAGACTCCTTTGCTCATTATAATAATTTCGAAGAATTTGAAAATAACCCAGTAGAAATTCTTTCAGATTGTCATATTATATAGATAATTATGTTTGATGTCCATATGACAATGCAGTATATACTTATGATTACATGTGTGAAGTAACTATACATCCTTTATTCAAAATGAATTGAAGATGCTTGACATTTATTAATATCTAAAGCAGTGTTTCCCAAAATTATGTTTTTTGAGTACCCTTTCTAAATTTTTTGTAACACTGCATAACAGTAATAAAAAAATTAATGTATTTCTTAGTATAAAAAAAATTGCACGAAAGTTCAAAATCACAACTAGCTGTTAACTCTGCAAAAAATAGCCAATAGAAAAATACGTAGTCGTAAATTTTCACAGCTAGCTTTGTTTTTAAATAACATTTTTTGAAATTTTCGTTTCTTGCAAGATATTTCGCATAAGAACATGTACTCCTGCTAAACTGTTCCTGTACCCCTAGGGGTGCGTGTACCACACTTAGGGAAACACTAATCTAAAGAAATGATGGTCCAAAAATTTTTTTTGGAAACTTTTGTCCAATCAAATAATTAAATTTCGGTGGCTTTATTGGAATGAACGTTTCAGCAAGAATGTTCTTATATGCTAAATTTTTTCTATGGTATAGATCCTACTACATACCCTCCAACTGCTACGGAATTTCCGTAGTTTCAGAAATCTTCTTTTCAGACGGTAGCAAAATTAATGTCTTAATATTTTAAAAAAATTAATTTTAGCGTAACTTGTCCACTATTACTTATAAAAGTGCAGGCCATATGGCTAGATTCTTAAGTTCTGATAAAAGTCTTATGAGAGATACATTTGCTTTAAAAATTTCTACTTTGGTTCGCTACCACTAGAAAGAATTATTTTCAAAATCCTCATAAGTTGGAGGGTATGCTACTATAGTTTCAAAGACTGTATAAAATATTGACAGCCATTCAATTTGAAATAAAATCTGTATTTTGAATAATGTACTATAATTATTACTAATGAAATGCTAAGATTAAATTTAATTTCTATACATATATAAATGTTCAACTACAAATCTAAACATCTATTTCTCGCTAAATTATGCTAAAATTTGATGCATAAGAAAGAGACAATCTATATTACTTGATTAAAAACTTCAAACAAACTGGTAATAACAGTCAACATGTTTCAAGTGCTCAAAAATCGGCACATTACCAAGAATATGGGAAATCATCAATTTCTGCACATTGTTGGAATCTTGGGCATAAATTCAATTTCAGCAATGCCAAAATTATTTTCACCCCATTCACATCAGTTCAACTTGATGTCCTAGAATCTAGATTTATTTATATGAAAGCTGATTCCCTTGTTAGCAGCAATAATACCTCATCGCCTAACCATAGCATGTGAAAATACATTTTACTCTGATTTTCCTTGCTCTGTTTTTCATTTTTTGTTCTCTGTCGGCTACTGTAGTTTTCGTAGTTTTGTTTCTCACCTATATTTTTTCCATTTTTTTTATGGCTAACTTAATTTTTTAACTTCGAATCATTTTTGTTTCTTCTCGTTCATGTTGAAAATGGGCGTCTATTTTTGAGCCATTGAAACATGTCGACTGTTATTTCTAATTTATATTTTGGAAACGAATGAAGTTTTTAATCAAGTCTTATCACTTCAGTTTCATGGTATTATTCATTTAAGACAATCTATAAGAAACCACAAGTTTTTGCAAACTCAATTGTTTTTCCTCAGGAAGTTTTAATATGAAAACCAAGCATAGGAGTATTAAGTATGTTGCAAAAAAAAAAAAAAAAAAATGATAGTTACCTGCAGCAAATAACACTTTTGCAGGACATAGCAATATCCACAAAATCCCTTCGAACATCAGAAGACAATGCATATTTCAAAGTCTGTGAGAATAGAAATTATTAATTATTGAATCAAAATTGAAAGTTAAAATGGCAACATTTATTTAAAAATGGAAACAAGTTTTTATTTGTTGCAAAACAAAATCAGAAAGAAAACAAAAACTTACTTTGCCATCAACAATCAGAGCAACATCATGTTCTTTTCTGAGCAAATCCCCAAAATCTTGGGTATGTCGTCGAATAGCTTCCCGAGTGTTCTGGAAGAAAAAAAATCATAACATGACCAATAAATAAGCTATTTGACTTACTTTTTCAAGTATCAAATTTTTTAAACAGTAAAAATTTCTATAATGTTACCTTAAAAAAATAATAGATTGTGCTCTGAATTATAAGTAAAAAGTTGAAAAATTTTAATTTATACAAACACTGGAGACTCCTTCTCCCTTTTTATGTAAATAAATGATTTAGAGTTAACTTTGATAACAAACTTTTAAGTGATATGTAACGTAAAACACGATAGCTTTGTTGCACTTTTTTCATTAAAATAAAAATTCACGTTATATGCTTTGAAAAACTGGGAATATGACGGGGTACAATTTAGGTAGATGAGATCAACTGTTGCAGTGGAATTAGTAACTAAGTATCTTAAAGTTACGTATTGAATGTTATTATTTGTGAAGTTTTCTAATAAGCACTGCTAAAGCTTGCTTTTTCCATAGAATTTATAAAAAAAATATTTTTACTAAATAAAAAACTGTAATTTCATGCAAAAATTATGAACTGGATTATTTAAAAAAGTCCACATTTGAGCGAATGTTTATCACTTGAAAGTTGTAGAATATTACAGAATCTTTGTTAAAGAATCTTTACATTGATTGTGACATTTTTTTTCAACAGTGTTCTCAGTTAGTGTGAATGATATAATTTCCAAAATAATAACTTTTTCCTATTCTCTTTAAGGTACTACAAATTGATATTGATACTACAAACACATTGAGACGTTACATACATGATTTATAAATTTAATTCTTTTCTGAATAAAATCAATGCAACAGCAAAAATATTTTTTAAACTACTAAATATTCAATCAAATGAATTATTATACAGAGATGAAATAATTCCTTTAGTTTTGTAAAAATGTATTTTTTTTAAAGCAGAGATTTTTATATTTTATTTTTTTTAGCAGAGACATGTCTGAATCCCTATAAACAAAGGATGATTTAAATATGATTTTTGTAAAACATTTCAATAATTTTGACATGCAAAATATTCACGGCTTTTTTAACAATAAACTTCACAATGAAATACTAAAACTGAATTACAGAACACTTAAACTAATTTGGTACATTTCCTAATTGACATGAAAATAAGCACAAATCAATAAAAAACTGAAATGCATGCAAGGATGCATCAATTACAAAATCACGTCATAAAGATAAGTTACAAATGCTTACGTCTAAGCTGTTTTCATTGATTACTAACAGAGCCATAGTTTGGGTAAGTAATTTGCATGAATAACCTACAAAAATCATACACACATTGTATTAACAGTCTGAAACTAATCAAAGCATAATTAATATTTAGCTATAATAACATTAAAAAGCAATAATTTAACTAAGAAATATCTAATGCATTCATGCAGGTTATGAAGCAATTACGAATAAGTATATAGTTCTAGATTTATTTAAATAACTACTTTAAAAAAAAAACTTTTTAGAAATATCATGAAATTTTTTATATTTTAAGCCATAAATTTATTTTATAACCACTTTATCTTTTAATTATCTTACTCTGATGATTCTAATTAAATATCACGGACTTGAACATTCAAGTACAAGCTGACTTTCTTTTATTTAATTTATCATTTCAAAATCAGCAACTTTTTTCTATAAATACTTGCTCTATTCTTTAAATAAAAGATGTAGGATAAATTTTAAAGCTCTCATTTAAACTCTAAATGTCTGACAGAACAGATCAGTTTAATTTACATCATTTCAAGACTTATTTGCTTTGGAAAAAAAGTAAATAATATTAAAGCTATTTCATACATTTTTAGTCTTTCACCTTAACTTTAAATGTTAAGCTACTCATTATAATTAAAATCACAGTCCTAAACATTTTTTGAAAATTTTAAACACTTCCCATTAAAAAAACAACAACATTGAATAACCTGGATATCTTATCATATGCACTTAAAATTTTACCCAGCATTAAGCTTATAATCAGCGTTAGAAATTAAAATGTAATAGTCTGAAGCCAATGGCACCTAAATCTTTTCCTTTAGCTAAAAAAATGGTACAACTAAGCATAATTTTAAAATTATTTTTTAATTACAATATTTATCTTCTTTTTTTAATAACTTTTAGTAAGAACTTTTTCAGGGTTCATTCTAAATCCTGAAAAGGGCAGAGTGCCTCTCAATAATGGAATTGAGTTTCACAAAAATTTGCATAGCTTTTAAAAACCTTGAAATATACAAAATTCTTAATTTCATCATTAAAAAGATTATTTTCAAAAAGAAGTAGTTAAAAATAATTCCTCAGTTAAATTCTCACTTTCTATACAGGGTGAATAGCCAAATCTTTCAACAAAAACTAAGCACCTTTTAAGTACTATTTAAGCACTATATTAATTAATAAAATGCAAAATAATTTTCAAAGACTTTACATGACCATGATAAAATAAGTAGTTTCTGACAAAGAACTCTTTTCTTGATTATATTAGTCACCATAAAAAAATCGAGAGATTTTTGGTTCGATTTCAGAGCGTGAAAAATGAAGTATGAAATTGAGAATATCTTGCAAAGTTCAGCAAAGTTGTAGAAGAGAGTGCAAGAATCTCACAGAACCTAGCTCAGTAGACGCACATGTGGACCCGCATTCATGAATCATGTAAAATGACTGGCGCTGCCATATGCTACGGACGGACCGTACCCCGAAATGTCTTGTGGTTGAATGAAAAAATTTTTGAAAGAATAATGTGAAAACTACGCTTTAGCGTAATATGTGTCGAAAATCGACGTGGTAAAGAAAAAATGATCAGGATTTACGATAGAATGGTTGCGAGTCGAGTGAGTTAAAACTAACTCCTTGATTTTGAATTATACAAATAAAATTGTATAAAGAATATCATAAAGAATCAGCGGACATAGATGGAAAAATGAACGGAAAACGACGTAGATTAATTACTGAAATTTTGTAAATCAAGTGAGCCAAAAGGTGCAAACTCAAATTCAAAATTTGCGTGTCGGTTTAACCCGTCAAAAATATCAGATTTTTGAAAACCATGTGAAAAATGCTGTAAAAAGGGTAAATAACAACCGAAAAAAATATAATTCAAGAATTTTAAGTTGCAATGGAGTAGTAGCAAATCGGATAAGTTAAAAACTAATAAATCAAATTTGAAAGCCATAATATCATCGTTTAAAAGATATCAGAATTTGAAAAACCATGTAAAAGATGTAAAAAAAAATCAATAACATGTAAATCAATAACATGTAAAAAAAATCAATAAATGTAATAGTATCATACAAAAAATATCAAGATCTCAAAAACCAGTTGAAAAGGGCCGAAAAAATTAGAAATAACTTCTGAAAATACTATCAACAAACAGCGTGAAATTATGATGAATCGAACAAATCAAAAAATCTTTATTTCAATTTCTTTTGTTCTTGAAGTATTGACATTTCCAAGCTACATTAGGAAGAAAAAAAAAAAAAAAAGAATTCAAAAATAAATAAAAAAATACTTAGTTAAAAGTTTAATATATTTGCAAGCTTAAAAAGTTTTGACTGCAAATATATATATGCCTTCAAAATTAAATATAAAATATTAGTGAAAAAGTTCCTTTTTTTAATTTTTGAAGGCAGTTTTTCTTCAATAAAATATGTAATAAACATCATATTGATTTTTGCATTTGAAACTGGGAACAATTAAATGCATTATAAACACAAACAAAGATTTCAAATAATATTAAAGAAACTAGTTTTTTAAAATAATTTAAATTTGAAGATTGCTTTATGCATAATATCTATAATATAAGTTTACTCTCAAAATAGGAATAATTATTGATAAGACAGACTTCATGCTTTCTTTTAAAACAGCTAATTTTTAGCTTGTGTTGAAGTTGAAATTACCAAGTTGAAAATCTTCATGGGAATTTTTCATAATTGTAATAATTGTTGTTACTTCTTCAATCGCAAATAAAAATAATAATTAAGTAATGTAAAAATGGGAATAAATATCACATTTTAAAAGTATGAACCTGTATATACAAACATGCAGTGCAAAATAATAATAAAACACCCAGAATAACTTTGATTGAATTTAAAAAATTGGATAATTAGAATTAGAATTGTCAGGAACTATTTGACAGATGTAGTACAAATTTAGTATTTTGCAACATAAAATTAGCTTTTAAAATGATACAGAAATGTGTATACCTTCAAATAAAACTTTTTCGACAGTTATTGAATAAAATAATAATTACTTATCTTTTGCATGGAGTTATCCTTAAATAAGCGAATTTTATAATCGTGTGCAAAAAGGTTTTTGTTTTGCGAAAAACATACCGAGATACGGCAAAAAACACAAAAAGTAAAAACTTTAGAATGCTCTCCTGAACAAGCAGGAGATTTCAAGATTGCAGGTAGCCCTTATATTTTGAGGGTATGGAATCCGTCAAAAAAAGGTGTGTTTATTCAGAGAATGTACGTTTATCAGTTTAATTTCCCAACTAAAAGTAATGCTTGCATTAATTAATTAGCATACTTGTCGTCATCTCTCTCAGATCCATTAATAATGAGCTTTAGTACATTAAAATTCGATCATTAGGTCAAAAGTTATTTAGGGTGTTTTATTTTCTTTTTGACACTGCAACTATTTTTTTTAAAGGTGAGATCACTTTTGAAATCTTCCTAAAAATAAAGCTAACAAGTACCAATATTAATTGCAGTTTCTTGTTTATCTCCAGTCAATACCCAGAACCTGATATCAGCCTTTAGGAGATCCGAAATTGCTTCAGGAACACCCTTTAAATTAAAATAATAATAGATAAATGAATAAGTTTTGAAACTTTCAAAACAAATATAGTAGTCTCAGCTTATTGTGATTGCGGTTAATGTTATCAATCGCCTATTATAATCAAACTCACCCAGTTTCAATTTATTTGTAAGTTAAAATTATTGCTTTCTGTGACCATAACATAATTTATCAGCATTTTCACTTATTTTCTTAAAATTTCTTTTATTTTTATTTGTTTTCCCTTTAATTTTTACTTATTCTTATTATTTTATATTTCATTTATACTCTGCATTCAAAAGGAAACATTTTTTTCCTTGTCCCAATGTTATAATTTCGGAGAATTCTTTTACAGGATGCGTAGCCAAATTAAATAACAAAAAATAAGCACCTTTTAAGTACTTTTTAAGCACTCAATAAATATTTTTAAGCACTATATACATTAACAAAATGCAAAATAATTTTCAAAGACTTTACATGATCATGATAAAATAACTGTTTCTGATTGGAAGAATTTCTTTTAAATTCTTCCAATCCATTTTTTTTAAATTTTCATTTTTATTTTTAGAAAATGGGATATTCTGAACACATTTTAAAATAATGAAAATAAGGAGAAAAAGTTAAAAATCAGGACAAATATGAACCATGATTACCATTTTAGTTTATTATTTAGAAAGGATATTTTAAATATTTTTTATAATGAGAACTAATTCTTTTTTATAATGAGGACTAATTACCTGGAAAATATTAAAGGACAGAAAAAAAGCTAAAAAGTGGTAGGTAGCTTGAGTAACACTAGTATTTTGCTGCTACTGCATCACAAAATAGTATAAAAATATTATTTTAAACAGCAATAATAGCCATGACAAGTTTTTTTAATGTTTGATACAATTTTATATTGTTTACCTGAACTGTGGTATTTGTGTGAATTGCCACAATTTGGAAGAATTAAACATTTTCTTTTTAATGTTATTACACCACTGATTTTCAAATGAGAAGCAATTATGTGTCACAAACTTACACAAAGAATAAAAAAACATAATACTTTATCTTCTATAAATTATTGGAATTTGAATCCTTCAAGAAATGCTTTTTATTAAGAAATTAAAAAATATATATATCACCTTAATTTTCCTTAAATATCTCCAAGGTTTAAATTATATTTAATTCTTAAGATTACAAGTTTATCTATGCATTCTTAATTTTTATTTCCCACAAAATGAGAGAAATCTAATCACTGATTGTAATTAATAAAAATCAAGAAATAAAACAAAAATAATTGCAAAAGATACCTCTTGAAGTCTATCTTCAATAGCTGTGGCACCAAGTAGAATTAAATTCTATAAACAAATAAATAAACATTTGTATTAAATAGGAAGTCTACATTAATTAAATGATGAATTGTACAAGTTTAGTAAAAGTTTGGCTCGAACTTGGAAGGATAAAGGAATGAAATTAAGTTTTTTAAAAAAATGCCTACATTATTGTTGTATAAATAGAATACACTAGGAGGCTTCGCCCCCTGCTCGCTGGCGCTCACCAACCCCCGGGACTGCTTTCACAGTTCATTTCGGATTGCTTTGCAATCCAATGCTCGCTTTGCTCGCTCATTGGATACGTTCTTAACGTCTAGTTTTTGTATACTTTTTTGAATACTGAAGTTCCGAAANTATATATTAGAATACAAAAGAATATTTAGCCCCTAGTTTTAGTTTTTTAGACTGATTGTTCAATTCATTGATTATTAAAAATAAGAACCTGGAAAATTTTTTTGTTTTACTCTAAGATCTAACTTTTGCCAATTAAATTGTAACTTATTTATGAAGAATATTAACATTTTAACTAGGATACAGATTCAATGCTATTATTTGACTATTAAACAATGTACAATAAATGATGAAAACAAAACTATTTTGAGAGCTTACAGTTTCGATAAGTTGAGCTGCTTCTTGCATTTTTCTTTCTCGATACTGAATAGCTGTGCTAGCTTTATGGTAGGTATCTTTCCATTCCTGGATTAAAAAAAAAAAAATTAAGTCACATTTCAAATCGAACGATTTGGCATACTGAGAATGAAATATTTTAAAGCTACTTACATCATAAAAGTCTGGTGAAATTTCAGCCACGGCAAGGCACAATGTTCTCAAACCTACACAGTAATAGATTTACATTGTTATTATTTTAATTATTTACTCAGAAAGTAAATAAAATTATAAATAACAATCACATATAATTCTTAATACAGTAGGGAACCTATTATCCGGAACGAGAGGGAACACCGCTAGTCCGGTTAACTGATTTTTCCGGTTTTCTGAATCACTACAAAAAGCCGTTTTATTATTGTTAAACCCAACTAAAAAAATATATATAGTTGGAAATAATCTTAAAAAGAAGAAAAAACGATGAAGTAATACACTAATGATTATTTCCAAAATGATGGTAAGGTAAACATCTTTCAAAAAGNACAATGCCCTTTAAAAAGAGTTTTAAAGGTGAACAGATCTAATGCAATCTGAGAACAAAATTTAAAAAACACCCATGTAAATAATTTTGTTTAATGGTTTAACAATGAGTAGAAAACATTAAATTGGAGAGAAATCTTAGTTTCTAAGGAACAATGCCCTTTAAAAAGAGTTTTAAAAGTGAACAGATCTAATGCAATCTGAGAACAAAATTTAAAAAACACCCATGTAAATAATTTTGTTTAATGGTTTGACATGGAGTAGAAAACATTAATATGGAGAGAAATCTTAGTTTCTAAGGAACAATGCCCTTTAAAAAGAGTTTTAAAGGTGAACAGATCTAATGCAATCTGAGAACAAAATTTAAAAAACACCCATGTAAAGAATTTTGTTTAATGGTTCAACATGGAGTAGAAAACATTAAAATGGAGAGAAATCTTAGTTTCTAAGGAACAATGCCCTTTAGAAAGAGTTTTAAAGGTGAACAGATCTAATGCAATCTGAGAACAAAATTTAAAAAACACNACTTGCCATATCAAATTATTGGGTGTTCCAAAAAAGAGAAGAAATTTGAAAACTGAAATAAAGAAAAGCAAAAAGAGAAATTTACAGTTTGCTGCATTCTATTTAGTTAAAAGTTTTTTCTCTCTAAATCTCAAAAAATTCGGTCAACCCTTTAAAAAAGAGTTTTAAAGGTGAACAGATCTAATGCAATCTGAGAACAAAATTTAAACACCCATGTAAATAATTTTGTTTAATGGTTTAACATGGAGTAGAAAACATTAAAATGGAGAGAAATCTTAGTTTCTAAGGAACAATGCCCTTTAAAAAGAGTTTTAAAGGTGAACAGATCTAATGCAATCTGAGAACAAAATTTAAAAAAAAACATCCATGAAAATAATTTTGTTTAATGGTTTAACATGGAGTAGGAAACATTAAAATTGAGAGAAATCTTAGTTTCTAAGGAAGAATGCCTCAAACCACACATTTACATTTTCTTCAGTTTTTCTCTATTTACTTTTTTAATCATCAGTAATTTTTGGGATTCTTAGAATTTAAAATGTTAGTGATCTTCATTGTCACTTTCCCTTTCTTACACAAATTTACTCAAATTTTATCTCTATTTCTGGTATTTTTTTTTTTTCTAAGCATGGAATACTAATGCCATGTCAATGCAATGTTTCATGAAATGAACAATGATTTAGAGTTTTCTATCACATATCTTAGGGTTATGTCTTACAAAAAATTGACTACATGTGGTACTTATTCACATAATCACAACTGAAAAATATTACATAAAATACAATATATAATAAATATTACTTAAAATCTGAATATCTAAAATACTGTACAAAACATCAGTAGAATTAAAAATGTAAATTCTAGAGTAATACTCTATTGCTCTAGAAATTGTATATCCTATAGTGCTTAGAAATATAGGGCAAAATTAACAGTTTGTCATCACTGGTCACAGGGCAACAAAATATAAGGAGTGTCAATTGCCACTTTTGTCACCTTAAATGCATCCCATGTGCACTTTATTTATTATTTTAAAAACTAAGGAATTATAAATACTTTATAATATTATGAAAATCACTTTAGTTCATGTTTATTTCTTAAAAATTTTAGAAATAAACCTGGTAATGATTACTTTTGAGAAATGTTTCAAAAGAAACACCTTACATTATTAATGCTAATAAAGCTTTACATTATGAATGCTGTTTTTTTACTTGTTTAAAAAAGTTCTATTTTAGTAAAAATGGCCAAATTTAAAGATGCTAAAGCTGGCCACTGGCCAGTAGCAAAATTTCAGTTTTACATCATACTCAAAAAGCATGAATGATGGGAGATTAGAAAATCATAAGCACAGAAATGTTACACAATGATGTATGAAAATGTTAAGACATAAAGTTTTATCATACCACTACTAGCAAAATCTTTTAAATGCTCAAGAGTTATATCCTTGTTGTGTGTCTGTTCACTTAACCTTTCATATATCACTGTATCCTAAAACAATATAAAATGGAGATGTTAAAAATATAAAAAGAAAAAATGCAAAAAATTATACACTAATAAAATACAGCACATTTTGATATGAGAATTGGTGACAGATTAAACAATCATAATATAATCAACAAAAGTCTAGAAATTCCGATTAAAAATTATTAACAAAAGCTTCTTTTCAAAGGAATATTTCAACACTTAAAAGGTTCCAAAAATAAAATTTTGATATTTTTATGGAAAAGCAGCTAAATTTTGAGGTTTTTTTTCTTCTTCTTCATGTAATCGATTTTTAAAAATATTTTGAGACATTAAGGTTGTGCAGAGCAGGAAAAAAAACAGAACACCATGAATGACTTATGATCTAATTACTGGATTATCGCATACTTAGACTCAATCTTATGGGTTTGAGGAGCTTATTGAAAATATGCTAATTAATTAGTGCAGAGAATATTTTAAATTACAAAATCAGATACAAAAAAAGTACTTTTTCTGAATAAACAATCTGTTTTTCTTGATGGATTTAGGATTTCTGACCCTCAAAGTCGAGAGGCCATGATCTCCCAAATAAGATCTCATTAGTTTGGTCAGGAGAGCCTTAATGCTAATTTTTGCATATTTTGTCATGTCTTGAGAATTTTGTAAGCAAATTAAAATATTTTTGTACAAAATTATTTTATATAAAGAAAATTCAATTCAAAATGCAGTTTGGATTGTAAAATATATAAATTTGTACGTCATTTTAAAGAATATAATTTTGTATGTCAAAATACAAAATTTAAATTAAATCAGCCAAATCGTTCTTGTGAAATTAAATTTTAAACGTTAGAGTTTTTAAAGTTTGATAGCTCAGAAATTTAACAAATTTTGTCACAAAAAGTACAATCCTTAAAAATGATGTAAAAATTTGTGTCACACACAATTTAAAATTTTTTCTGCTCCTAGTAAATAAAAACATAAAAATTAATAAATAATTATAAAAAATCATCTTTCACATGGCTAAACGAATTTTGTATGCAAAAAGTAAAATTAACATTATGGGCTCCAAACCTTTGACCTCTCTCTAGCTCAACATATTGGGTTCATATTTTCCAGATTGCCGTTACTCCCATATTTTGAAGGACAAAAATCTAACTGCGTCAATAAAGGTAAGTTTATTCAAAGAAAGAATGATTTTGTGTCTGATTTCATAACTTAAATATAATCTGCATTAATTAATTAGCATATTTAAGATTAGTCACTCAAACCATTAAGATAGAGTATCACTAGATGAAAATGTCATAATAAAATCAAAAGTTTACCAGAAAGTTTTGGTTTCTTTTTTTGCACAACTTACAGCACAAATCAAATATAAATGTAAAAATAAAACATTTTATCATCAACATATACTTACAGCTCCTTTACAGTAAAGCTTTATTTTCCCATTCGGACATCGAACAATTACAGACATTCTTTTACGATCACTAAAATAAAAAACAGAAATATACCATGAAAAGTCATGATTAAAAAACTTAATCTGTTACAAATTATTTAACTCACCTATTAAATTCTAAAACATTCAGAATTTCATACTCTTCTTCTTCATCCAACTAATGAATAATAAAATTTCAATTTCAAATAAAATAATTTTAAAGACAATCATGGTGCTTATCAGTTGAAATATTTGATAAAATAATAACTGTTAAATTTTAATATTAGAATACAGACATAAGACAATTAGCTTGAATTTTCAAAAACAAAGGGAGTGTAACTATTTAAAAGAAGGAACTATTTCGTTAACACTTTTTGATAACCAAAACAAACAGTTACAAATTTACTAACATTCTCTTTTATTTTGTTTCAAAGCTATTTTCAGTTCAGTCAACAAATTTAAATACTTTAAAGATTATATTACAGGGTGCATAGCCAAATTATTCAACAAAAAATAAGCACCTTTTAAGCACTTTTCAAGCACTCAAAAAATATTTTTAATCACTTTAAAAAAATATTATAATTAGGCAGGGTTGGAAAGTTTTTGACAATTGTTCGGCTTTATCTTGTTTTAAAAATCATGTAAAAAAAGAAAAAAAACTTTTGGCATTGTTTTCGACAATTATAACAAATCAATTCTTCAAATTTTGACAAAATCATGAAATTTTGAATCATGTAAAACAAATGGCATTTTCATATGCTACGTACTGAAAATACGCCGAAATAGATTGGGGTAGAATGAATTGTGAAAACGTTGAATAGAACAATGTGAACTGTGTCTTTTTGAATAATTCATAGCGAAAATCAACATGGTAAGGGAAAAATCTCATTTTAAAAAAGAGAAAATTAAGCACTTTTTAAAAACATCCAATGAAAAAAGCACCTTTAAGGGCTTTAAAAAAATAAATAAGCACCTTTAAGCACTTTTTAAAAACACTACGCACCCTGTATTAGTGTTGATAATCCCTAGGGCATTTGCCACATACTTTGGCAATACAATATTAGATATAATGGGCAAACGAGAGGCACTCTGCGATTCAGATCACAGTTACAAAGACAGAATTTCCATTATCAGGAATTTGGCAAATCATTGATTGTTGCACATTATTGAGACCATTTGCATAAATTTAAATTTGACAAGGCAATAATTCTTTACAATTCAGCTCTTTCCCACCCCTAAGTTCTAATAAAAATGCCGTATTTTATTCCATTTCGTCAACTTTTTTCTCCTTTGTTTTCTTGCATCAAATTTCCCCCCCCTTTTTTTTTTGGTAACTGTGCCTTTTCTTTATTTCGACCTTGTTCTGCTTTCAGAATTTATCTGTTGCTACATTGAGAATGAGTGGTATGTTCAAATGATGAAATTGAGTCAACTTTTATTCAATATCACAAAGCAAAATGAAGTTTTAGATAAATAAACCTTTTTTCTCCTTTCTAAATAAAAAAATTTAATAATAATTTCAACTGTTTGCTATTCCAAATACAATGACTGAAGGGACTGGACAAATATGTAACAATGTTTTGCATTTTTTAACAATTTTGAATTGATTACTTTCGATTGAAATAATTTATTTCATAGTCATCGAATCTTATGGCAATAAGTGCTTAGGGAAAAAAAACAAATTTCATTTAATACATTTTTGACAAAATTTAAAATTACCCAAAATAATAAAATCTCTAATCAATTGTTTCAAAGCAACTAAGTTTAAAATTTATAAGAAAATTTATTCACTTACAGCTTTTATAATGACATACTCAGGTGTTCTTGTTGTAAACACAAAACCTAAATTTTTTGCTCCTTTTACAAGTGCTCCTTCATCTAGATAAAAATAATTATAGATTTATAAGCGAAATGCTAAAATTCTTAAAAAAACTTGGCTAAAAAAATATCTAATTATGGAATTCTACTAAAATAAATAAAATAAAAAAAAACCAACAAAAAAACAATAGATTTAAATGGATCAAGCACATTTAAATTTATCCTTCTAAGAAAAATTATCTAGTTTATTACATTTATTGTTCTGCTGCAAAACTTTATATAATAAAAAATATCTTATGGGCAATAGACAAAACTATATTACAACTAACGTTATTTAAATTTTAAACAGATTTTTTAAACAAATAATTTCATTTTTCAAACAAATTTTTTTTTCTTTCTTAAAGAACTTAATTTGGTTAAATATAAAGTTATTTAATTGTAATTCCCACGATACAAAGTTATTTTATTTTATTTTATAACCGTCGTTGAACAGCCGACCCAATTTTATGGGTTTACGACTACTAATGTTCAACTACGTAGCCTTGTAATTTTGAACCCAATCAAGAAGACAAGGAAACTCTTGGATCGAGTATTGGGAGAAATTTGCCTTCGTGGAGGACTTTTTGATGGAGCTATTCCACATTTGAATGGAGAGGAAGACCATGAAAACCTCCCACGGTTAGCCTGACGGCAGGGGACCCTAACCCATGATCTGTCTACCACTGAGTGATATTTCACGTCAGTAGCGTGGCCGGTGCAAGTCGGATGCAGAATTCGTATCGACTGGGATTCGAATCCGGTTCACGTCATTGGAAGACGAATGCTCTATCCTCTGAGCCACCGCGGCTCATACAAAGTTATTGGGAGTCTTAGAGGTTAAGGGTCCCTACATTTGAAATCAAAGCATGAATGAATATAGCAGTGTTATCAGCCTTGTACACCAGCTGCCTTTACTTCTGAGACAAGCTGGTACACATCAATTTGAAACTGGATCACTTTTTGTAAATAGATTTTTTAACATTAACAATTTAGAGCATAGTACATCTGCCAACATGCAATTGTATAATCCTTATGTGTACCATAGTATTATCATGAGGATTATCTTTGTACTGCAATCAAATTTTTAGTTAAAAAATAAGATAAGGTTGGTAAAACTAAACTATTTTATTACAACTAAAACTATTTTATCACAAACGTGGTTAACTACAAATACTTTCTTTTAAATGTAGTGACTACAACCACTTTCGAAATGCAGTAACTACTTTCCTACTTTAAGTAGACAAACTTTGTTGGAGATCTTAATAATAAAAAAAATGGCTTCTTATTTATGTCCAAACGAAAAGTTTGTTAATCTAAAACATTTTTTTAAAATTTGTTCATTTACGCTATTAACTTTTTATGCCTCTCTCGACTATCAAAATTTAGTTAAAGAAATGATAGGAAATTATCAAATATTGCAATTATGTAACATATTTAATGCTCCTTTTTTTCCTTTATGAAATTAAGTACATCAAAAACATGCTCCTTCCGTTGAAATAACACCAATATTTCATGAGTGTACATTCGCATGCATAAGTGTGACTAAGATAAATAATCTAGTATTCATAATGGATAGTTTAAATACCAGTTATACGTGATTCTAAATATGCTATTTCTGTTAACGCTCAGCCACATGAGCATTTTCATTGCATCCATTGATGGATTCACAAAAATTAGAACCCATCAAATTTTTAAAAAATAACTAGTTGCGTTAAAACCTTGTTTCCTTACCAAACTAATGCAAAAAGTTTTTTCCAGGAATTGCTATAAAACTGGGTTTTTTATGTGCTGTACTACTCATTACACAACTTAAAAATAAAAAAAAAATAAGTAGCCCGCTACAGTACAAAAAAAGTAGCAAGTACAGTAGTTTCATTGCTTGTAGTATACTACTTTCAATCACTGGTAATAAGTTTAATTCACACAATTTACAAAACCTGATCATAACTAGAAAAATGTAGATGTTGAGAGGAAGGAGACTTCTGAATTGTCATTACTTAGTCCGAGAATAATATGTTCTGCAAAGACTTTTATTTTACGATAATGTTGGTCACAGTTTTGCCACTCAAATCTGAAAGAAAAAAATTCCCTGTGTTTTCCCTGTACACGTTATATGCAATATATTAAGAGGAAAAAACAATTACTGTGCTCTTGTGTGAGCTATATTGGGCTAACTATATTTATTAGTTTCAATTGCTGGAAAAACAGCTGAACATACTTAAATAATGCTTTGGTAAATGAAATAGTTTAGTATAGCTGAAATATTATGGTTAAATATCCCATTGATTACGCTTTGAGTGGTCACCATTTTTTAAAAGATCAAAGAAAGAAAAAAAATAAATCCCCGTATTTTCCCAGTTTGCAAAGAAAAAAAAATCCAAATTCCCTGAATTTTCCCTGTTAATTTAGGTAATTTTTAAATTTTCCAGGTTTTTCCTGTTCTCCCTGTGGAGTGGCAACCCTGTTTGAGTAGTTTCTACTTTAGGGGTTCTAGGTAACATTCGATGTGTATGGGAAAGCGAAAACTTNCAAAAATAAAAATATCCCCGTATTTTCCCAGTTTGTAAAGAAAAAAAATAATCAAAATTCCCTGCATTTTCCCTGTTAATTTAGGTAATTTTTAAATTTTCCAGTTTTTTCCTGTTCTCCCTGTGGAGTGGCAACCCTGTTTGAGTAGTTTCTACTTTAGGGGTTCTAGGTAACATTCGATGTGTATGGGAAAGCGAAAACTTATAACACATTTTTAATAAAAAATATGTAATATAAATTATAGATATTTTTAATTAATATTCAGATAAACTATATAGGAGCAATATATTGAAAATTAAAAGAGGTACAATCTGGAAAAGTAGATTTAAATGCCTACCTGGAGAGGCTGCTTGGTATTGTACGTCATCGGATTGTGAATCTTTTTCAGGAACGACAGTATGACAAACAGCCATCAAAGTTAAAAATTCCCTTATGTAAGGAGCTGTGGCCTACAAATATCAAGACATTACATTTATCACAAGATTATTTCGACAATTATCTAAATACAAAGCATAAACTTAATTACTAAGATAAAAGTTTTTCTTACATGGCCACTTAGGTAATTTTGAATCAAGACATCTCTGTCAAAATCTTTCTCAGGATCCCTGAAAATATAAAACATTTGTGAAAGTTAGTGATTGTAAGTAATAATAAGCAAGGAACACAGAAAAAAAACAAGCAATAACAAATAATAAAATATTTTTTCATGATTTAATAATTTCAATGATATTACTAACAAACTTATTTCGATCTTATAAGAGAAATAAATGTTCAAAAGAAAATAAGAAGCATAAAATGACAAACCCATATTTGACACCAGCTATTGAACACTGCTTGAATTCCATTATATTTTCTGTTAAAGTCCCGGTTTTGTCAGAGAAAATGTATTTTACTTGCCCTAGTTCTTCATTTAAATTCGACGTTCTAGCCATAGCAGGTGTATTACTTTTTTCATCATACATGTGAATATCCTGAAAAGGCAAGAATATAAGATATTTATTTTTATTCAATATCAAATACATAGGAAGCAAATTTAAGGAAATTATCAGATATTCATAACCAACTTCTTTTTGATTAGGAATACAAACACTCAATTAAAAGTTACACAGACATAAAGTTACTATCGGATGAAAATAACAGAACTGAATTGCAAGGAAATGTATACCAATGTAAATAACACAAAAAGAACAAATAAAAAAAAAATATGAAAAAAATTAAAATTTGCCTACATTACAATTTTTTTCTACGCTACTACATTCCAAGATAAAAATAACTCTAATTCTATGAAATAAATATTAAGTTATCACTAAATTAATATTTCAGAATTTTTTAAACAAGTCATATCCAACTTAGAATCAGTTTTTAACTTTTATAGATACATTTAAAAATTTTAGTTGTGAAAAAGTAAAATTGTGATAGATAATTCATTTATCATATATTTTGTAAATTAGAAAAAATGTTTTGCAATGATGTAGTTAAAAGTTACATACCATATTTATGAAAATAGCTTGCATATATCGAACTAGCTCCAAGGTCACTTGCAAACTAATAGGTATCAGATTATTGTAGAGAATGATAAATGTTAGAAAAGTGTAGCCAAAATTTGAGCTGGTAAGATCTAGAAAAAGCAATTCATTTTTTAAAAAGACACTGCAGCAATTCAGAAAATTACACATTCATAGTACTGACAATGACGGTGTAACATTTGATCAAACAAATTCATAATATTTTGATCCACTTCTAACAGAAAATAAATTTAAATCAGCACTTATTTACATACATTTTTAAAATATGAAAAACTTCTGAAATAAATATCTGAATTTTTAAATAAATAATAAATATTTATTTAGATACACAATGAAGGAAAAAAATTAAATTTATTTTATAAGAAGACGGACATTTCTACTTAACAGAGTGAGTATATACAGGGTGTCTCAAAAACGTTGCAATAAAATTTTGAAAAACTAGTAGTTATAAGAATTTAGAATTTTAAAATATAATAACCACAGAATCTCATTCTATGAAAAATTCATAATAATTTAAACATAAATTGGTATTTTTTAATTTATAAAAAATTATTGGTTTTGGTACAAACTTTTATTTTATTTGAAAAGATTTTATTTTTATACTTAAATTACCCCAACTTTTATATTGCAGTTCTGTAATAATCATCCTTAACAGATATTTTTAGGATCCTCTTAAAAAAATAAGAGAAAAATATAAAAACAGTTAAGGTCGCAAATTAAAACTAAGAAAAAACAAAAATACTACTTAAATCTGCTAAATCCCAGATAAGGAAGGAGGTTGTGCAAAATATCAAAACATGTTTGATTATCACTTGAGATTTATAGGTATTTTGAATAATTATCTTTCAACTCTTCTGTTTCTTCCAGCAATAAAACAAGTTTTGACGTTTTGTACATCCGACTTGCTTGAAAGTGATTCTTCAAACATGAATAACATTTTCGTTTTGCCCACCTTTAACTATTAATTTGCTACCCCCAATTCTTATACTTTTCAAAATTCAATTTTAACAAGGATGCATTAAGAGTAGCGATTGCAAAACACTTTGCATGTCTGAAAACTAGTTTGAGGCTGTTTAATAATAGTGATGTTACCGGGTAAAAATATATATATTGAACATGTTTAATACACACTAATATGCTCATATTAGCAGCGATTCTTAATAACTAATATGAACTAACAAATTAAAGAATAAACTAGCATACCATCAATACCCAAGTACCAATCAGAAAGGGCATGCTTTTTTGTCCATAATTCACTAGCTATGGCACTGATAAGGCACAAAAGTATGAGTAACAGGAATAACATTAGAATCTAAAAAGGAATAAAATTATTTAACCAATAATCATGATAATCAAATTTTAAATGAAAATACATTCAAAATTTGGTAATAATTTGAGACAACTTAACTATTTTGAGACAAGAAAAAAAAAGACATTAAGCTTGCTTTTACATAAAACCACTTATTTAAAAATATGTAATTAAAGTCACAAAAAAACGACACATTTAAAAATGTGTAATTAAAGTCACAAACTATTGACAATATTCGTGAAATTTATCTTTTTTCATGTGTCTGTAGTATCATTACAGTCACTTTCTCATAAAAAAATCTATACTGATGTACATTTTTAGAACAAGTTACAAATCAGGTACAAAGTGCAAGCACCATTTTAAAGACAGTGATAGAAACTATATATCACTTAAAAATTTCAGTTATGTAATTCAAATCTGTGGAATGAATTTTTAATTGTCTAATTTATCAATAAGTAATGTTGAAAATAAAAAAAATGAAAAAGAAAATATGAGTGCAATAGTTACATGCAAAAAAAGTTCATCTTTTAAAATTTGATACTTCCTTTCATTTTACTTACCTAATATACTGTGGGAAATTAAATGGCAGCTAAGAGCTTTTGCTTAAAGAATTATATAACTCATCAGATTTAAGTAATCTTACATTAAGTTACTTTAATTTTTCAAAGTAAAAGCATTAATTCAATAGTTTAACAAAAGTAAAATTTATGAAACAATTAATAATCTCTTCAGCAATGAATGAAATAAAAGATACGTTTGTAAGGTTTGGTGAGTGGTTTCATAGATGAATAACTGTGCTAGTTAGGATGTTACAATCATGCATACACAGAGAGTAATAATAAAGAAAGCCCCTAAACACCAAATCAAATCAGTCCAGCACAAGTGCACACTATAATTTGAATGTAACCAGTAGATGCACCACCACAAAATGAAGCTCCAGAGACAGAAAGAAAAATACCAAATGCTTAAAAAATGGATAGAAAGATATCAAATGCTTGAGAGGTGGAAAGAAATATATTGAAAATGACATAGGCAATATAGTCAATTGACAATTACACTTGAAACAATGTTAAAAGTGTTTGCATGTAGCTTATGCAACTGATGTCCTAAGTGCTTTGTAGCTAATAACAAATATTTTAAATGCCTGTAAGGTTATTTTGTTTGTATCTCTTCGTTCTTTTATGTAATCATTCACTAAATTCTCAGTCAAGAACGTGAAAGCTTTCTACATAGTACAATGTAATAGTTTTCTTCAATTATTAAAACAAAAGCATTTATTCTCACTTAAATTAGTTGCTTTTTCAGATACTCATTTATTTGTTTCTGTAACTTAAAAAGCTTTAAATATAAGAAAAATAGTACAACTTTTCAGATTCATCCAGACTAATATATTTTGTTCTTTCAAATGGAAATCAAAAAACTTAATAACCTCTTTAGCAATTAATAGCATTTTTTAGGTAAGCAGAGAAATTATAAATGCTTTAATACTGAGGGAAAATAAAAAACCAAATTTTATACATAAAATAAAATGTATATTGTTATAACACAGAATGTCTATACAATTTTTATTAACAATTTCCAGAATTGACAATGTGAACTTTTTTAATGTGAAGAAATCTCTCATGTGCCACTTCAAGAGCATGTTAAGAAAGTTTGGCTGTATGTGTTGCATTAAACATCAAATAATTACATCTTTTCTTTCCTATACATAAGCATTCGGTATATCCTATTTTCAACAATATATCCTGATAAGTAAATCATAGCATTAATGATATAATTACACCCAATCAAAATTTAAGTAAAAGCTAAGTTTAACTTTACACATTCTAAAAAAGCTTATAAGTTTTAAATGACAACAGCAATGAAAAAAATTATCCATATCAGTCATGGCTTATATGACTTTGATATCAATAATTATCTTTTGATATCAATCGATATTTATATCTATGGATAATTTATAAATTAAAATGACTTTTATATTGATAATTGTATGAAAAACAAATGTTTCTTTTCAATTACCTGGTTGTTTGTTATTTTATCCACAGTAGATCTTTTTAAAGGGGCAGTAGTGGAATTCTAATTGGAGAAAAAATGTTTAAAAAATGAAAAATTAGCAAAAAAATTAAAGTCAGACATTTAACAAGTTTGAAATTCTAATTTTCTTACCATCATCAATTTTGTTTCATGTCCAGTATAAACAACAACACCTGAAAAAAATACACAAATTTACTTTAAGTTCTTTTTGTTGAGTTTTTCATACAAATTTTGTTAACAAAAAATATTAAAGCATGTTGTTGAAAAATTTTTCTTCCTAATTTTTGGTTCTTGTAAGAGGATGCTAAACCTGCCAACCGTAGTTTTGATTAAAAAAAATTATATACAGTGAAATCTCCAGGAAAGACAGCCTCTATTTGCAATCAGTTTTGGAAGGCACAGAATTTTTTCCATAGACTTTGTGTTGAATAAAACCTTTAGGATAGACCGTTAAAATCTCTCTCAGCTACCAGGCAAACATCTGCCCCAAATGCAGAAAAGGTCTAATATGGAAACACAAAGAATATCAAAAACAATTTAACAAAACAAATAAGTAGATTAAAATATAGTCTAAATATTTGTGTGAGGCTCTAATTTAAAGAGCCCTTTTTGACTATGCAACCTCATTTTGCAGTCAGAGCAGTGGTGTACGCAAGGGAGGGGTTTAGGGGCTTAAACACCCCCCTTGAGCTCAGACAAAATGGCAAAAATAAAAATTTTAGTAGAAATTATGCGAGCTATTATTTTTTAAGACTATGAATTTTTATTAACCTTATGCCTACTTTTTTTTCTCACGGTATTTCTCAGAATACTGAAAAAACATTTACTATAATAGGGTTGTACTTTTGAAACCAAATTCACGTGATACTGTTATGGACTGGTTCCTTTCTGTCCTGTCAGTATAGTTTTCAAGACTGGCTGTCATTCGCGAGGTCTTTACGCGATGATTCTGGAATCCTAGATGTTCTGCCGTCTTTGAGACAATTCGGGAATTTTGGAGACGCGGTGAAAAATTATATAAAAGGGGGAACAGTGGAGTTAGTTAGTCAGACTAAGAATTATCTCTGCCGCTTGTCTTTCGGAACTTGTCGCTAAATCGTTTTTTTTTTTGTCTTAACAAAAAGTTCATTCAATCGCCGAACCCGTCGTCGCCAGTATTTCGACTAGTGAAGAAATCAGTAACAATACCAGAGATACTGTNCAAATACTCTGACTTAAATATTGATTGTTTACTTTTTTGATAATTTAAAGTTTTTTTTTGATTTATATATTATTTTGAATTTATAAGCAAGTTATAAATTTTAATAGTTTAATGCTACGTTATGTTAAATAATTGAGTGCATTACCTGATTATTGAAAATGTTTTATTATTTGAATTTAACTACGTTATTTGCATTATTTGAAATATTCATTAATATTAGTGATGAATGTTAATTGTCATTTTAGTTTATATATTTACGATATGGTTGTTTACTATCAATTTATATGTTTTGTCAGATTAAGTATCAAGGGAGATACTTCAATCTTGCGTGGGGGGTGTAGTGCCCTTCGCCAGAGGGCGCTTCGCACACTCACCTCCGAAAAAGTATTAANGAATTTCTTTTAGTAGTTTCAGAAAATTATGAACACCCCCCTTGAAAAAATTCTGCGTACGCCACTGAGTCAGAGTGCACTAAAAATGATGCTATCAATGATTTACTTTTAGATTTGAAAGTTAAATTAGAAGAAAAAAAAGTTATTTTAGAAAAAACAAGCATCTCAAACAAACAAACCTCCTCTTATCTTTTAATGCTAATTAAATTTTATGATAGGAAATTAAATGCAAACTTAAACGAAAAACATAATTATTTATTCATTTAAAATAGCTTTATCATTCATAATTGGAAAATTTGTTTTTACACAAAATCATATCAGTTGAGATAATTTTTATTGACGCAAAATTTTAGTCATCCATCCGTTTTTTCATGACGCAAACAGAAGTGACATTTTGGCACCAAGAAAAAGATACCGATTAGAATTAAAATTATTTGTGAAAAAACATGCACCTTGAATAACAATTTTGAAGTCAATGGAGTTAACCTATAAGAACAACCAACATCCATCAACGACCATTTTATATAGGAACAAATAATGGACGGGGTTATGAAATTGACATGGCATATGCAACTAGTTTCAGCATAAGAATAATTTCTACTATTTGTAAATAATAAAAAAAAACACATAGCAAATAATTTGTCCTTTTTTTATTCTTTTAAAACTCTGGCAGATCAAGGAACATAAGTATACATAATGTACACTCAAAAAAGTCAGAAAAATGGTTTTATATAATTAGTAAAGTAACATTAATTTGCTGCAAGAATCAGAGTAAAATTTGATCCAGCTTGGAAAAAAATTAAATATTTTATTACATGTGCAATGCTGCACAGTAATTAATAAATATTTTTTAATTTTCTTCACAAAAAAAACACTAAATTTATATATTAATTTGATATTTAGATACATAAATTTAGAATTCATAGCTTAGAAATAACTCACCAAAAACCCAATTTGTGTTTCGTAGTTTAGCTCCTCGTAATAGTAGCTGGTCAGCTCCTAAAGGCAGTGTTCTGTAAAATTTTAAGTAAAAATATAAAAAAAATTAATATTAAAATGGTTTTAGCAATATATTTAGATATTTTTTAGCAATGAGCCAGGCTCTCTTAAAAAATTTTAACAATAATAATATTAAAACATATTTACAATGAAATATTTCAAAACTGATAACAGTAGCAACCCAGGTAACAAAATTCAAGAATTTAAAAGTTGCTAAGATCAGATGGATAATTTTCCTTTTTAACAACAAGCAATATAATGCAAAGTGCATGTCTAAAAATGTTTCTATGATACATTTTTAGCCAAATTTAGTTAAAAATTAAGTTATCAGAAATAAAAGTAACATAGAGAATATTTTATAAGAGTTTTAGGATTGCATTATCAATAGAATAACTTCAAAAACTTAGCAATTTGAAAATAGAGTTTAGAATACAAAGAGAGAGCTTAGATAAGAATAAAAATTAAAATAGGAATCTATCTTGGAAACGATTGTAGCAGAAAATTACAGTAGCATTGATGAAACATTAAATAATAACATAAAAGCAAATTTAAAAGACCAAACATAACAAAAAATGGTTGAAAGTGATATTTAAGTGAAATTAATTTAAAAAAATATTTTCTTTATTTGTTTGCATAGTGAAGTACAACTTTTTGCAAAAGAGGGTCATAAAAAAAATTCATATAAACTTATTCATTAATGTAATACACATTAGTCAAAATTGTTTTTTAAAAGACGAAGTATATGCATAATATTTTTGAATTAAAAAAGATTTAAAGATAAGCGTACATTGTCTTTTATAAAATTAAAAAACAGGTTTTCATATTTTTCAGAGGAAATAAATATTTTTTAACTGCACATAAATTATTTACAACTTTAAATTTTAAATAAATCCTTTCGTTTTGAGCACGTTTTGCTTAAACAATTTTAGACCAAGCAAAGACATTTTATAAAATGAGGTATAACTTTCATTGAAATATGCTTAAATTCATTAAGACACAAAGTTTCATTTATGGAAAATAATATTTTATTTAGGAAATAAAATCATGTGTGTATGGTGTGTATATATAAAATATATATGGCTTGTATATGTAAATGGTGTGTATATGTGTGGTGTATAAACATGCTATGTGTGGATATAACAAATTAATGGCCAAATCCTTTAGTTAAACTCTAGTTTAAGATTTATGCTTTATTTTTTATTTACAGAACTTGCAGCTTTAATTCATCATAAAAATATGCTTAATCTCAAGTGAAAATACATTTTCAAAAATTGAAGCTGACAATAACTGTTTCACAGTAAAAAACTAGCGCATTTTGGAAATTTCTCAACAGGAAGTGCTTACTCCAATTGAATTACCAATATTTCATAACTGTCTTCAGAGCCTTTAAAAATAGCAGAAAACTAAAGTTAGTTAAAAATATATGTCACAGTGTTAATAAATTTTTTATTTATATTGAAATTATGCAATTACACGTCCAAAATGGGTTAAAAAATTTTTTTTTTAAAGAAATCAAAATACTTAAATCCTTTGATACCTTGAATTGATATCTCTTATTTAAGTATTTTAAAATTATAATTTCAGCATTTTTTTCTAAATTAACTGAAATTTGAACATTAATTTTTTTTAGTTTAATTATGTATTTATTTCCAATTAATTTTCAATTGGTTTTGTACCTCTACATTAGCATTAAAATCATGTTTAAGGATCATGTTTGTAAATACACCTAGTTATCTGCAGAGATAAAATGGAAATGAACACAAGCTGACAAGCAATAATTTTTGCCAAATAGAGCAAGTGAAAAGGATAGAGAAATGAAACATTTATTCCAAAAAATAACATTCAAAATTAAATTAGTGTGCATTCTTGTAAAGCAAGTGATATTATGTTTTGTCTCAAGCACACAATAAGCAAATGATACTTGAAACACATTCATGCTACCTTCTTTTATGAGAACCATGTCCTTCTAATGCATCATAAAATAATCTAAAATAAAATGTATTAAACATAAAATATAAAGTTCTGCAAGAACTACATCTTAGCCACATAATATTATACAACAGATTCCCGACTACCTGATCTAATGTGGTAGAAAGAAGGCCCGGATAACAACAATTTAAAAAGAAATGTTTAAAACAGACAAAAAAACAGAACAGTTCCACTTCCTATCCCCTCTCTCTAATAGCTAAAAAACTTGTTAAACAACTTAAGAAAAATTTAAAAAAAAAATTACTTAGTATTCATTAATAAACTATCATAACTTTGTAAATAGCATAGTCATTTCAAGGTTTGTGATTTCCCCTCTCTCTACACTTTTCTCCTCTCTGTTATTACGGTTTTGTCAAATTTTATTTTTTTTTCTCCACAGTAGTATGTTTTTGTAAGAAGTTGGAGTATATTGCTGAGGAAAATAATTTTCAAAACCATGATAACGGAAAATGGTAAAGTGGGGAAATCATATAATTTTGACACTTTTTCCATTTAGAAAGAGTACGAAAAATTATGCCTAGACAAATTCAACTGTACAGTTTTTATGATTTTTGCACATGGCAAAGACTGAAACTAGGAGGTTGGTAGCAGATGACCCCTTAAGCTTTTGTCACTTTTTCTTCCTCTTCCCCCCACAATGAGCTTTACAATTGGTGGGTTGCAAAATCTCTTATTTTTTATTAGGATGGATAAACAAAAGCCTACCTACTGCACATTCCTTACTATAATTTTAGGTAAAAAATACAACACATTAATAACATTTATTTGAAGCGAAATGCACATAATTTTTCTTTAGCAGAAACTAATCGTTTTCTTTTTTAAAACTTTGAAGTTATTTGAATTGACAAAATTTTAAATCATTTATACAGAAAATGATTATTAAGTCAATGAAATATTTTAGCTGAAAGTTGAGTATCATGTTTCCAAGTCACTTGTTATTGTAATGGGCAGCTATGTGATATACATAAGGCTAAAACTAAATTGATATGATATTGATTCTCATGGGAAAACTTAAGCTTTACCATTAAGTTCATGTTCAGGATTTAGGAGAAAAATACAGATACTGTAATGTTAAAGATAATTTAAGACCATTTCTTTTGCAGTCATCTCTTAATCTTTAGCAAAATAAAAGTTTCCTATAGCTTATTTCAAGCTACATATACCAATAGTAAAATAAGCCGGGCAACAAATTTTTTTGTTGTACTTATAGAAATACTTGATCTTGCCAAATTCAGGGAGTTAGGACACATCATCAGGATAAAAATTGCATGGGAACCCATGTTCAGAAATGTTTTTGCAAACGGCTAGAGGCGCTTCCCTATTAGGAAGAGTTCAGAAGTACACAAAGAAACAGTTCAAAATAGGGAAGCACTTTGAAATTTGCATATTTCTGCAAAAAATACACTAACATTTAAAAAAAAATTCAGTAGCTTGGAGAGAGAAACTGATCACAGATTTGAAATCAGTGATAAAGTGTCTAAGATATGTTTCAAAATCACATGCAACAAAATTTTTTTCCCCAATGCTATTAACTTAAGTATTTATTCAAAATAGAAACAAAACTATTTATAACGATACTTTAAAATTAAATGGGACAATTATTTTAATACCCCTTTTAAATTGAAATTCAGAACAATATATAAACTATAATTGCCAAACTATACATTTTGAAAATAAAAGAATAAAAATGCTCAACTTACTGTTTCCCAGCTATTCTTAAATTTCCAGTAAACTCATATAAATGTCTATTGGGGGGCTCACATTCTAAAGTTCCATATAAACAACCTAAATCTCGAGGAGTCAGCCAATGAGACGTTTGAGGAAGACCCTACATTTTGAAGAAATGTAAGATAATCATAATAAAAAATAATTTAAAAAAATTTCTATCATAATGTATAAAAGAATAATAGACCCTACATTTTGAAGAAATGTAAGATGATCATAATAAAAAATAATTAAAAATAAAAATTTCCAGCATAATGTATAATATTTAAAAGAATCACAACACATTAAATACTGACCTGTCTAATTTTTAGATTTGTTTCTCCATCCAAATTGGCAGTTTCAATGTAGCACATTGCATGTGGTTCACTGTGAATTAAAATTACGGTTAAAAATATTTCCAAATCTTCAGTAATCTAGCTTTTTATGTAAGCAATAATGCAAATTAATGTTCTTTTAATATCATTTTAAGAAATAAGTATTGCTTACATAAAGTATTGAAAACTAAGATAATATTAAGTACCTAGATGAAAAACAGGGTGAATTGTTTTTAATATTCAGTTTAAGTTGAAATTAAATATACAATTCTCAACATTGGAAATCCCCTAATATACCATAGAGCATAAAAATGAAATTTTCTGAAGAACACAGAAGAAGCAAAAATGAAACGTTTATTATAAAATATTTAAGCATAATGAAATGTATAACAAACACGTAGCTTGGTTTCCATAATTTAGTTTCTATATTGTTTTCCTTGTTCTCGATCATTAGTTCTATATATGACTGATCATGTTTAATGAAATTTAATTAACTATAATTAAGAAATAGTTTTAAGGTTTGCTTATGAAAATTAAATATATAATTTTATTGTTATTATAACAAATATTCCCTATCATTATTTTAATTTTTTTTAATTCCATTTCTAATTTTAATATCCAATGACAGAGGGTTGACAATATAACAATAAAAGAACAAGAAAAGGATGAAATCTGAATTACAAAAAATCTTTTCCTCAAGGATCTTATAGAACATCATAAATGTCCTATGAGCATAAATGATGTCCTACAAACATGATTAGGAATGTGAGCTATTGCATCATTAATTAATGTAAGCATTATCATTTGAAACTGTTAATAAATAAAGGGGATGAAGATGAAAAGTTTTACATTAATCTTATAAGAAAATATTAGATACTATTTTTAAATAAGCATTATTTTTTTAAATATAAATTGAATAGTTATTTTTTAACTGTAGATATGTTTTACAGATTTATGAGTTTTTAATTTCCAACAAGAAAACAATAGATTACTAGGCAAATAATTTATTAAAATGTAATACCTTGAAGATAGTAAGACTATATCAGCTGGAAAAAACTGACCACTAGTAAGTTTTAAAATATCACCAACTTGAACATCTGTCCATGTAACCCAAGTCCAATGACCATGTTTTAAGCCTAAAAATAAATTGAACTTAAAATTATACACACTATCAATGTTTTTTAAGTTTCATGTTAATTATACTGAAACAGAAATACAAAAGTAAAACAACGTATAAAGAAAGGATAACATACTTTGCACTTTAGCTTTGTTTACTCCATCATCCGCAAGATGACGTTTCTAAATAAATAATATAAATTTATAAGTTGTAAGTATTATTTAAGAAAATAAAAATTTTATGAATATAAAATTTCCATCTCTTGAGAGAAGAGAGTACGGAGGAGAGAGATTGAGAGAAGAGAAGAGAGTATCTCTTGAGAGAAGAGAAGATACAAAGTAATTTTATTCATAGTTTCGGTATGATATAGATAAAGTAGTCTCAAAAACAAAGCCATATAAGTCTGAGCTATTATCAAGGAATATAATACAAATACATAGTAACTATTGCAGAATTAATTATTAATTAAAAAATATTTGTGTTAGATAATATCAATAAAAAAATCATCCAGATGTAAAAAAAATTATACTGAAAAGCAGGGACAAGTTCAGTAAAAAAAAAAAAAAACTGTAAATAGAAATCCAAAACACATTTTAAATAAATGAAAAAATACCAGACATTTGTGCAAGAAAAAAGTACATATAAGAAGCACATAAGCATATATCCATAGAATTTTATCAATGTTTCAACAAAAAATATTGATGAGTAATTTTTTTTAATTGAATAAATACGAATCTTAATGTGTGATTTTTGAATCACATGAATACAAATCCTGATGTGAGATTCTTTAATATGAATCTCGATAGATTTTTTTTAATCATTTGAACATGAATCTTGATGCATGATTTTTAAATCGCATAGGCGAAAATTCTGATGTGAGATTGTTAAATCAATAGAATGAACGAATTGGGATGCATGATTTTTAATTGAGTGAATGTGATTTTAAATCCTGTTTACATACTTAGGAAAAATCCCAAAAACGAATATTCTTTCGGGAATTAGAAAAAGCAGAACTTTCTTTAAAAAGGAGGAATTTTTCTCTTTATTTATTTGAGCAAAAAAATGGAAAGAAACTCCTTGCTGGAAAATATAAAGTTCTTATGAATTAATACTTACAATATCTTCTGCAATTTCTTTGATGGCAGATATACTTAAAATGAAAATCAAAGGGACGCCTGTTGTATAACGACCAGTAGGTGAAACATTAGGTATTTGCTAGAGGATAAATAGAAACAATATAAATAAAAAGAAACAAAAAAGAAGCACTAATAATTTTTTCTTTGTTTGTGTTTTAACATAATCTTTGATAAATAATATGAAAAGTTTAATCTCAAAATAAAAAAAATTCCTTTGTTTTACAGATCAGTTGAAAAAAATTCAATATGTTTTGAGTGCCTAAATAAAATGTGTCGTGTTAGGACAATATGTGCAAACATATCCTGTTAAGAAATATGCAAAAAAAATAGCTTGAAGTTACAGTTGCAATCAAAGTTACAAATGCAATTTTGAACTGTTTGGGTCATGATTGCACTCTATTGTTGTGAAAAAAATACACATAGAAGTTAAAAGTAGAGTCTGTTTCAATTTTCACAATAGGAGACAATAGTCTCAAAAACCTTTCACAAATTTTAATTCTACTAAAAAGAGATGTTTAAAAAGTGAGTACTTTTTTTTCCCTGCATAAAAAAGGGATACACACACTTCAACAACAATTACAGAATTGTATCAAAATGTTCTTACTTATGTTATTGTGTGAAAGAAAAAGGGAATTTCTACCTTATTGAAATTATAAGAGCATAATATCTTCTTATGATTATATTTAACACAAATGTACTAAAAGACTTAAAAAATTTTTAAAAAAATTATGAAAATAAAACATAAGAAAAAAAACTTATATTTTAAATATAGTTCATTACCTGAAGGAGAGCTATAAACAAAAAAAAGATATTTGAATAGCGTCGGAATTGTTCAAACAGGAACTTGGGTAAAAATGAAAAGACGTTGTATTTTGCAGTGCTGAAAAATTAATAAGAAAGAAATAAACAATCAAATAGTACACCATTGAACAATTTTAAACTTAAAATGGTTATGGAAAATAAAAAATAAAAGTATGTTTAAACTAAAATTTCTAATAGACTTTTTTATTTTGAAATGTAACACTATTTTCTTATATTATTTTCTGTCCAACCTGAGAAGCAGAAAACCTATTTGATAATGCTAGAGAATATTAAATATACCTTAAACTTGAAAAAACTGTCAGACATTCATTAAGCAAGGTATTTTGCATTACTTAATGTAAGTCCTTTCTGCTGCATGCAAACAATTCGCTGGAGACTTTTGTGTACAATATTTTATCATGTTAAGACATCTTAAATAATAATCAGTGCTTTTTTAAAAAAAATTTTTAGAAAAAAAAGAGTTACTTAGAAATGAATAATTTCTGCTTAGAATTTAGTGGTATAAACTACTAATAAACTCCAGATTATCAGTGAGGATTAGGGAGGAGCAAAATTTACAATGCATTATAAAAAGGTCAAAAATATTACTAGTTTATTTAAACTTTTTTTTTAATCTGGATCTTTTTTTTTTCACTTTAAGAAACTACTTTGAGATAGTTAATTTTTGTTTTGAACTTGGTAATTTAAACAGCAGAAATGAACTCTAGAATCACTGTAAAAACCACTCCTTAATCAAATATGGATATTCCATAAAAAAGTTGACAAGTTTCTGTTACACCATAATTAAAGCACCATCACTTACTGCTTTGTAACATTTTTATGTTGCAGCAAAAAAAATAAAAGATCACGAATTACTAGATAAAATCATTGGATTGAATCTCAACTTGAAAAATCATAGCAGGACAATATCTATCAATTACAGAATGACTTTAATTTGGATAAAATTATATTTACTATAACATTAATAACTAATAAAAGCAATTTCCTCTACAGAATTGCTAACTTTTACACATTTTGGGTAAAATTTCATTTTTATTTTTAAAGTTGTAATAAAATTTATACTTTCTATTTAGTTTGTAAATTCAATTTAAAATTATTCTGACCACCACTGCATATAAATAAATCAACCTATATATAAATGCATGATAATCATACAAAGTGCATTTTAATCACACCAGAACTAGTTCAGGCATTAAGACAGGACAAAGTGTTTTAATAAAATTACTCAAGACATGCAACCTTAACACAGTGCTGTAGGAAAAATAAAGCATCAGACAAAAAATTTCATCGAATTAATAAATATTACCATTATATCACTATCATTAAATACTACATCAGGGTGCGTAGTCATCTTTCAACAAAAATAAGCACCTTTTAAGTACTTTTTAAGCACTCAAAAATATTTTTAAGCACTATATACATTACCAAATGCAAAATAACTTTCTGAGACTTTAAATGATTATGATAAAATAACTAGTTTCTGACAAAGAACTCTTTTCTTTATAATATTAGCTATTATAAAATGATCAAGAGATTTTTTTCCATTCGATACCAGAGGGTGGAAAATAAAGTCAGGAATTGAGAATATCTCGCAAAATGCAGCAGAGTTGAAAAATGAGAATGCAATAATCTCACCAAACCTAGCTCAGTAGACGCACATACGAACTCGCAAGTATTTCACCAAATACGTAAAATTATTAGCGCTTTCATATGCTACAGACCGATGGTTAGCCGAAATATATTGTGGTTCAATAAATTGCAAAAACATTGAATAGAACAATGTGAAAAGCCTGCTTTTGCATAATACTTGGCGAAAATCGACATGGTAGAGAAAAAAAAATCTCATTTCCTAAAAGGGAAAATTAAGCACTTTTTAAAACCACTCCATGAAAAAAGAACCTTAAAGGGCTTTTAAAGAAAGAAAATCAAAAATAAGCACCTTTAAAAACGCTATCCACCATGTACAATCCAATCTTGTAAAAATTTATTGCAGCTTCGAAATAAACAAATTTAAACAAAAAAAGTTATTAAAAATAAATTTAGGGAGGACGCACATTCTTCTCACCGTTAATATATTCACTATAATTTTAATTATATCTTAGAATGATTAAAAATAAGACACTCAAGATAATTTTTGAACTATTTACCAAAATTATCGCTTAAATGCTTGAAAGTTATTGAATAATAAATGAATGCCCAGAAAAATTTAAAAAATTGAATTCAATTTTTCAAGAGGAATGAGTGAGAAGGGGTTAAAAATTGATACATAGCCATAATTAACATGATTGATACCTAGCAATAATTATTTAAAATATTTTATGCAACTTACCTAAAACAATATTTACAATAAATAGTGACAAAACATAGTTAGATTATTAACAGCTCATAATTTTATTTTTCTTATATAACAATATACATTTTTCCTATTAAAAGAAAAGAGAGGAAAAATCTGAAATTTACTTAATTACACTAAAAGCCAAAGACAATTTTCGTACAATTTGTCACTATTTTTAATCAGACACACAAGAAAAATGAACAAAAATATACATTAAAATAGTAAACAATCTGCATCCATTAAAATGCCCCTATTTAAAAAGAGTAATTTAATTATAGCCAATAAGTTAGTTACCTTATTCTGTTATTACAATATTTTTGTTTTTGAAGAGCATTCAAATAAATAACTCTGTGTTCTGAAAAATCAGGCATTTCAGTAATGCCCGATGTCTGATCATCGTCATCATCTAAAAAAATAAGAAAAATAGTTCAATATATCAGCTTTTTTTTTAAAAAAATATTAATTTAAATTAAAACATAACATTACAAGAACAAAAAAAGTGCCATAAAATATCCTACTTGTTGGTAAACTCATCATGGATAGGTATCTAAGAAATGTTCACCTCTTGCATTTCAATTTACTTGTTAAAAAGGAAAAGAAATAAAATTAAAATGATGCATGCAAAACAGGATTGCTTATGAAACAATACACTATAAAGAAAAATTTAAAAAAAAGGATAAAATTAAAAAATATTTAATTATTTTTAAAAAAAAAATGGAAGCAATTTTAAGAATGAACAGTTGGATATAAAAAAAAAGTTAAAGGAAAGGAGATAATGCAAACAAATGTATTACTACAAAAAGATGACACAATTAATTACAAGAATTATTAACAGGATTTGAAATTAAGGAAGGTCTGAGACTACTAAACTTCAGCTGGACCATCATAAAATAGTGGTCCTTAATGTAATAGGATAGTAAGCTACTTTGTTTCTCGCGTTTTTGTTTTCATATTTTTGTCTGTGATTGTTGCAAAATATTATATTTCATCATAATTGTGACATTACACATTTTCTGTATAAATTAATTTCTTAATTTCTACTCTTGATTAATTCAGATTTTTTAAAGATCTGACTTTCTCGCATTTGATGCTTATTCAAGGCTGATAGAGCATAGAATGCAGTCAATGTGATAGTTTGCAGATACTGGCAAAGAACAAACTTCTTTTTTTAAATATAATCTAGAGCTTTAGATCGACACAATTGGTCAACAATCAAGAAGTACAATATACCTTCTAGTTTTCAAAGAAACTGCCTTTTCAAATCACAAATTACATGAACATGATGAATTTTATTACTTAACAGTCATAATCTATGCTTTCTTTTATGTCTTCTAAATAGTTTGGAATTTATAAAAGAGTGACAATAAACAACTAGTCAAATTTTTCTTTTGTGACGCAGCTAAGATAACTGAGCCTACAGCCAAACCGTAAATATTTTCCTCCTAGTGCTACTTCATCATTGCTCTGAATACGAGCAAAAATCAGTTCTGAAGAGTGCAATAAGGTTTTCCCTTTCTCAGAAATATGCAAAGCAGAGCTTGTTACATAATAGAACAGGTTAAACTTCATGCCCTGCCTCAGAGAGCTTACTTATTAAATGCTTGAGCTTTAAACAATTGAACAGGGCAAAAATATATTGCATCAGACAATAGGAAAACTACCCCACTAAATATTAATCACGAATTAAAATTTGAGGAAATGAAAGAATAATACACAAAAAGGTATAAAACTGGGTGCTCCTTGGATTGGGCACTGTACTTAGGAACTTTAACTGCATATAAGATTTTCCAGTTTTTAAGTATTTCTTTTACAATTTCTTAGTAATGTAAAATCTAACTTAAGTAATTTTTCCTGTTTCTTGTAAGAACATAAAAAATAGTCAAAATACAAGGAGCACATAATTGTAAATGTTTACTAACAAATATTCACTAGTTCAAATAATAATTTTCTTTTGAATCTAGTATTATATATATATTTTTATGAATTAGATATTAAGATTCTTAAAAAATTTCACTATTAAAACAAGAACTAAGGGGTTTCTGCAACATTGAATTATAACTTAATTTGTTTTAAGAAGTTTAACTTCATTATTGATATGCTTTTTCCAGAATTAAATTGTCATATGTTTCCCATATTTTCAGACAAAGCGTTATTAAATTAAAATTTAACAAAATATCAATCTGAGAATCAATGAATTACACAACTGCCATAAGATATTGCAAGAAATAGTTTAAATGAAATAAAAAGTAAATTTGAAAGAAAATCCGGTAACGGATCACGTAATACCAATCACGTAGTATAACATGCAAAAAATAAAGAGTGGTGCATAAAAAGGAGAAAAGTTTCATTGATTTTAGGAATCATATTAACTACCTCCTAATTCCCCCAAATCCCCATAGAGTCCAGGTTTCATATTCGCATTTCCTAATTAGGTGTCACAAAAAAAAAACAGAAAGTTTACAATCTTCTGCACCTCTCAAGAAAATATAAATATATTTTGTTGCCAAAAGCATTTTTCCATAAAACATTTTTTGTTGTTTAGCTTCCGGTGGCTGTGAGATCAAGATCACTATAATGATAAATATCAAGAGCTATTTCTGCTACTCAAATTATTCAGTAGTTAAGTCAATGATGAGAGAGAATAGTCACATTGCATATTACGCACTTATTTTGATTTCAAATGCGATTCGTGGACGCGCCAGTACTGTAAGTAATTCCCAATAGAAAGCATTCACACTTTATGCAAAAACTTCACATATACAAATTCGATGATGCGAGTTCGAACTTGATTGGAGAGTTTTTTGTGGATTAATATATTTTAGCAATCAGGTTCTCCGTTGCGTTTAGGAATTACACATATGTGAATTTTTCTCATCCAGAGCGAATGGCCCTTTTGCATTTAGTTTCTAAATGTTCTCACGTGCGTCTAAAGCACTCAGATGCAGTATTAATAGCCACTTAATTTTCAATCAAACCTGATTAGTGTAATGTTTTAACAATAACCGATTCATATACAATGCGGAGCAAATACATATTGGAAAAGGTTTAAGAACTCTCAATTAGATGGAATACGCATTTCGTTACGCAGCTTTTTAGGAAAAAGAATATATATATTTTTTTGGGGTCTGGTTCATTTCATCGACAATCACTTCATCGACAGGCCATTTCATCGACACCACTTCATCNAAGTGGTGTCGATGAAATGGCTTGTCGATGAAGTGATTGTCGATGAAATGAATGCGACCCATTTTTTTGTACTCAAATCTAAACATTTGTCCTTGCTCAAGTGTCTTATTTATTATTAAAACAAACAAGTGGAACTAAAAGGTACTATATTTTCGAAAATTAAAATGTATTCAATGCACCGACTACTTAAATTCATTAAAAAAATAAGTTAAAAGCAAAAGAGAGATGAAAAAAAATAGTCTTTTTGCAGATCTAATTTTTCTTCCCTCCCTTATGTGTGAATTTTAGACAACAATTGTTACTGTGTATATCAATATATTTCATCGTAGGGGCCCATGAGTGTATCCTTGCTGTTTTTTTAACAATTAAGAGCAAATTTTGTCTGTTGCAGCAACGTTAGTGGTCCTAAATAAAAATTAGTTAACTCGTATTTTACGGTATTTAATAAAAAAACAAAACAATATTTTCTGAAAAGAATTGTATCACATCCCAAGTATCACCTAATATTAGATAACATCAGAAAATCGGTGAAATCTGACGTTATCTTGCACAACTTCTGATATTAGAAACATACAAGAGATCGCTGTTTGCGCTGCATTATATAATATTAGATTCTACAGAAACTAATATTATCAAGCGTTTGCCGTAATGTTATTTTGCATTAGTTATGATGCTACAAAATATTAGATTTTACCTTTTCTGATATTATCATGCGTTGCTTTTTATTTTTTGAGTGAGCAAGAGGAAAATTTGGATGGTAGTAGAATAATTCGGCGATATAATTTTACTTAATTTTCTGTATTGTTGCGAAGTAGTAAAACGTGGAACAATAGTTTCATAATGTCATTCCATGCATTATTTACTTAGCAATACAGAAATACGAAATAAAATTATTTTAGCGAACTCTGCTACCATCCATTTTCCTCCCTCTTACTCCAAAGTACATCTTATGTTCAGTTGATTTTTTTGTTAATATTTCAAATTTATTTAAGAAATAATGCTATATCACAATTTTCGATATTGTTTTCCTTTCTTCATACAATGGGTTTTCTGACAAATTTTATATCATTAATAATTTTCAAGTCTTTAATTTTAAAATGTATGTATTCTTAATTTTCTTAGAAATGAGCTTATTTTGTCAAAATCTCAATTGAATGTGTTAGTTTGTAAAACATATTTTATAAAATGTGTAACTTAAGCCATTTGTAATTTCACAATTATCATTCATTATTCATATTCGGAAATTGTAAATTAAAAAAGTCACACTGCATAATTGCAAAGTTAAACTTACATTTGAATTGAGTTGAGAATTTAACTAATCTTTTTTTCTTTTAAAATTTAACTAAGTCATTCATTTCCAAATATATTAAAATAAAATTATATCTCCAATTTTTAAAATTTAATTTTTTGTAATAGTTGAGACAGTAAGGAAAATTTAAAAATATTCAAATTACTTACTTGCTTAAATTTTTTCACTGGTATTAAATGGAAAAATGCTTCCGTAACTTTAATCTTTCAGAATCTGAAATTTTTCTTACAAACCACTTGAAACAAAACCCAAAGGCACCCGTAGAAATATTTTCAAGGAGCGAAATAAAAAAAAAGAAGCTTTTTTGAATTTTAATTTAAAAAAAATTTGCTATAAATTTTTTGTAATATAAAAATAATTTTACATTGGCACATCAGAAATTTTATTAGTTGCAAGCACTATCTACCCTTATTTACTTAAAATTTAGGTAAAATTTAAATCTCGAAACCAAAATGTAGTAAATATTGTGTTTTATCAGAATTAAATTTGCACAAACATTTAATTGCACACAAGAATGCAACGAAAAAACATAACACCTGTTTTCATTATAAGTTGCCTTTTGTATTAATGATCCAAATTTGATTACCTCAGACCTCAGTAACTTTTTGAAATTCTTGCTATCACAACATTTTTGCTTCGAATCAATCAATTCCATTGTTTGTATTTCGCTGATAAGAGATTATGCATTACGAACATAGTAAAACCAAACATAACATTACAGGTCTTAAATGGGACATTTTGAAAAAAGAAGATGCAATCTCACATGTTTTCACAAAGAATATACAAAACCTTTCAGATGAAAGTTTAAGGAATATTCTTTTCTTAATTGATTAAGAATTTTTATCATAATGTAAATACTATTCAGCTTTAAGTCAAAGAACTTTTTACGATTATAATTATTTTACAATTATATTATTTTAAACACGATAAATATGAAAAAGCATTAACTTTTTGTCTCAAAGTTCAAATGAATAATCATGTCAAAATTTCTAAAATTAAAGTAATAAGCACAATGTTGATAATAAAAATACTCATGACTTAGAGATATACTTTGAAATCAGCGTTAAAAGAAAATTACTTCCAATATCACACCAAAAGATTAAAAATAACCAAATTTTAATATATTCAACTGCTTTCATGACACGTATAAGCACTATCTACTAAAAAAAAAATTCCAACGTTATATTGTATGAAACTTTATTAATGAAAATATTATGCCTGACAAATCAATTTTTTTTAAATGTTGAAGATTTATAACAAAATTGTAGAAGAAATTACACACTACAGTAATTAAGAAAAAAAATCCATGATAAACAAAACTTTTTCACAGAGAAGTAATTTTAATTGCTTTTAAGGTCATAACGATCATAAGGTATAAAAATATTATCAACGTAAACGTTGTGCTTTGCTGGATTTTCATTTCCAGTTTTCATTTCCAAATTTTCAATAACCATTTGAGATAATGGTTTTTCTTTATTTACTAATGATATTCCTTGAAGTGTAAATATTTCTTAATATCAACGTACCTTTTTCTTGACATTGCTTGATTAACAATAACGTCGTTCCAGTAGCAGGAGCTATTTCTCTGCGGAAACACTTTGGGATATTTCAGGTTAAATGTAATATAAGCCAAAGAACGTAATTCCCAGAAATTTGTTCAAATCATAGTTCTTCAGAAGAAAGTTTCGGTAATTTTTTTTGTCTATCATACTTGTTGCTTTCGTCAACTGTTACTACAATCATATTTTTAACCATCATTTCAAAAATTAGCACAGGCGATTTTCCTGAAATTATACACACTATGAAATAAAAGAAGATTCGACGAAAATTTTGGATACTCGATTAGTCTATTTCGGTGAGGAAATATTTATTTCGTCAGAAATTTTTTCCTTTCGAACTTCAATAGTTTCTGTAGTTTTTCTTCGATTTTTTTTTTTAAATCAAACATATAGCACGCCCATGTTCAATGCTGATCGAAGCATCATCAATATCTTCATCGTAAGTTACTCTGGATTAGATGACAATATTTCTTTCATCTTGCTTATAATTTGTAGTGAAAAAAAATTTCGCAAGATAGCTTAAGGCATGCCTTTTTTTCCGAGTAGATTTCTAAGAAAGACGTAATAAAAGAACGGGCACTCATTACTCACCAGCACTAGTTGACGACGTAGCTATCACTATGATTGCCGTAACTTCAGTATTTTATATTCTTCTTATCCAATCTTCTTAAGTAGGCCCAGCCGTAACTTCAATGAAATTTTAATATTTTATATTCTTTTTGTCCAATCTTCTTAAGTAGGCCTAATTCTTAAAATTTCAACCAATCATACCTGCCAACTTTAGCGATTTTTGCGAACGATATTTTCTAATGGTAGCCAATTTTACGCTTTAATTTATTATTATGGTTTTGAAAAATTTAATTTAAAATTACTTTAATCATTTCCAAATAAAAATTTTGAATAAAAAAGAACACTGAAAATTAATCACTGCCTGACCCAAATAGCACAATTCACAAAAACGATATCGTAAAAACTTAGCTTTGAACATTGTACAATATCGTAGCGAAATATTGTAGACTATATAAAAATCTACTATATAAAAATGAATCCCTTTTATAACGTATATTCAATATTGCAAAACAATATTGTTCGATATTGTAAAAACGTTGGGGGACGTCGATCGACATCTCTCTACATTTACAAACGTTGTACTATGTCGACCGACATCGTCAACACGATATTCAAAAAACGAATGCTGCGGAATGCCGACAATCGCCAAAATTACGTTATTTGAGAAAATAAAAATTAGTTTTTGAAAATATTCCTGCCTGTTTGCAACCTGGAAAAGACTGAAAACAAAACCGTTCTAGCTTGTTTAAAATTAAATTATTTGCTATTACCAAAACTTATAAAATTTTTAGGTCTGCAGCTTAGTTATTAATATTTAATAAGTTTGGGTAGGCAGGTATATTTTACTATTATTCTAGAAAATAAGCTAGAAAGTAAATAG